AAAAAATATATACAAAGTATATATAATCATACATATTAATGTATATACGTATATGTATCCTGCACGGCATTTACACGTCTCAATCCGATGGCCATGTTGGCCACAACCAAAACATGTTCTTCTTCGAGCCATGACATTGCAAAACGACATGTGATTTGTGCCTTCAAAAAGTTAGTGCGTTTTTCTCTTCCAAACTCCAACAAAACAAAAACCCTGCAGAAGACAGGAGATTTGATCATGCACCCCCCAAAAACACACGCGAGCTTCTACCAGCGCGACGTGTAGTATATGATGTTTCCTAAAGTGGAGCCCCAAATCATCCAATATTTCCCAGTCATTAGACCATTTTAGTATTGAAACCTATGGTTTTGGGGATCCCCCATTTTAAGAAACCACCTATTATGATGTTCCTATTTTTGATCAACATCAGGGCCATGGCATGATGACAGCGTCGCTTTCGAGTCTTCCACCTCAGTCCGCTCCGAGTTCGAAAATTCGTTGGCGTTCTGACACCAACGACAACTTAGATTTACTTATATCTATAATAACTACATATCTTATATTAGGTAAATCTAAGATAATATTATAGATAATTATAGACAATATCTTCTTACAACATAGCATCATTATCTATAATTGTCTTAGATTCGGATTTCGTAAACGTATGTCAATGTTGGGTATGTAACATGCGGGTTTTCACGCCACCTTGCTGAACGCTGCAGAGCTGCTAGTGGATGAACCATCAACTGGTTGCCAGGATGCTTCACCAACTGGTTCGATGCCCCGTTTCTTTAAGATGGAAAGGGTCTAGATGTTTGAAACCATCAATTCGTAAGCTGGTTTTACCCCAATTCGTAAGCCTGGTGTTTGCACTTTCTCAGCACCAAGCAAGATCTGAGGATCAACGTTGCTGTACACTGCCTGTTTACATCAAAATAACTGTTGTATAGTTGTGCGTTTGTTCATCCCCCTATACAGAGGGGGTTCAATACTATATAAAATGCTGTAATTGTGGATTTGGGGTTACCCATGACTTAGGAAACCTCCTGGAATGACATGACAGAAAATTTGACCAGGACAGAAATGGCCCCATCCTTTGGTGTTTACGCTTAGTCAATTTCCGTTGTTTTTGTTCCAGATAATCACATGTTCCCCATTTTTGGTACTTTTCAAAGAAGCACGTTGTCCCCCGCATCTTAGTTTGAATCAACTTTGAATCCCCTTTTGTTTTTCATTTTTCGCTCTTTTACTTGGAGGGTCAGCCCAAAAACATGCGTATTATTCACCCGCAGTTCTAGCCCAAAAACATGCTGAATTTATTCACCTGGCCCCTCCTGTTTTTCCCATCAAATCCCCATCAAATCGTTGATCAATAGCCACATCACGTGGCATGTCAGCTCTGAGACCTGGACCCAAATGTAGAATTGCCCAGGCCAGGCCTGAAAATTGATAAAAATTAGCGAAGGATGCGATGTATTCGATGGTGTATAATATATATATATAATATTATATACATATTATCAATATGTATATGTATATACATATATATATATACATACATTATATACTATATTATATATTTGATACATATTGCACATGTCTCTCTAGATATGGATGAAATATGATGACACAAGCGATCTGAGATGGCAACGGCCAGATCACTGCGACTCGGCCTGCCCCAAAAAGTTGGTTGTTGGTCAAAAATCCCACGAAAAATCGTGGGAATGATCACCTGTTTCGGCTATTTTTTTTGGTGAGTGTTAAACGTGTTTTTGTTGGCTCAATTTTGGGGTAAATTTGTCATAAATACCTTGGGAATCTTGGGTAACATTTATGACTTAAATACCTTGGGATATTGAGGGCTTTATGAACCATCCCCAATGACCATCCCTGGAATGGGTGACATCCACCATGTGGTAAACCCTTGGTTTACGCCTGTCAGTCAGATGGGACATTTTGGGACCAATGGTGTGACTCATAATTTTTCATGGGGGGATTAGGGGGATGTGATTATGATATAGTAAATGTTATACATCAAAACATGGGATTTTATTATAGGCAAAAATGTTAGAATCCATTTTGATTATCACATGGGTGATTTTGACTCAATGGTATCGCGGGACATGTTTGCTACAGTAAATGTAAGGATATGATTATGATAAACCAATGATAAACCATAAGTTTTCAGACAGAAATCTTTGGTTTAATCGTTTAATCCCATCCTGTGTTCAGATTTTTTACACCAAGAAACCAGAAAACTTCGTTTTATGGGGGATGCAACCAGATATTTGGGAGCGACTGGTGGGGTAACTAATATGAATGGGAATGGTATTGCATTAATAGATCAACCTCTATATATATATATACATATAATGCGGTTAGAACAATGTCATGTTTACCATCCCAAAGTCATCACCATTATTATAGGTGGTATAAACTTACCATTCCCAGTCATGGCTAGTTTATGATATTGTTTTAACCACTGTGGATTTCCATAGATATATTAATGGTATATACAGATATATTAATACATATTAACATAATAGATATTATTTATATATCTATCTAATATCAATTAATAATATTTATCTGATATTCATATTTATAATAGATATCATTTTAAAATTTATATATATCATAATAGGTATAATAGATATATTAATATGCTCATGGAACATGTTTGGTTTCTACATCAGACGTCCCGAGGGACGAAAAAGCCAAAAAACCTCAACCATCTGCTGGTGCGAAGTCCGGTGCGGAGTCCGTAGGCTTGCTGGATGGCTTGCTGGGGGTTGCTGGGAATATGAAATTGATAGCTAGTGATAGCTACCATCTGGTTATGACTAACAGTTCGCCATAGAAAATCACCATGCTATTAATAGGTAAACCTTTTTCTGGTGGATCATTCCCTTACTAAATTTACTAAGCACAAGTCGCACCTACGTAAGATCAAGTAAGTCTGTAGATCATTTCTCCCAGAAAACTGCATGGATTTCGCGAGGTCCCAGGGAGTCCAAATGGTCCCAAGGGGTCCCAACGGGAAGCCGGACACCAATCGAAGCTGACTGGCGCCAATCTGGACCACTCGAGCTCCATCCACCTGTCACACTGTGTACTCCAAATTGTCCAAGATCACTGACCCCGGAAGCGCTGGCAGTGAACAATGATTTAAGTATTGAAAATATGGAAACTGAGTAAACTCTGAAAAATGACTGGTGCTATCTGGTGCTACTTGAGGATGCTTAATTTCTCCAAAACACATAAGGGTCACATATTTTTTGGGTCGCTAACGTTCGCCCGAAATCCACCGAGGAACTCGATGCGGGACTGCAATCTGCTGCGTTGTTTTGGGACGTGTTTTACTATGTAAAACCACCATGTTTCATGGGTAAATCAACTATTTCTATGGCCATTTTCCATAGCTATGTTGGTTTACCCTCTAATAGCTCTCTGGGTAAAACACTGCCATGTTTACCATCCCCCAGTCATCACCATTTTTATAGATGCTATAAACTTACCATTCCTCAAATAACCCCACAACGACAAGACGTCAACGCACCAGAAAGCCACAGGCCCACCGGAAATCTGCCTCGGTTCCCTCCTTGCCCCCAAGTCCGATGAAAAAATCCATGGCCACCTGCTAAACCGATTCGCACAGGATCCATTGACACCAAGTGTTGCCCATATCATCCTATTTACCCTCCGGTAAACTCACATAACTATGGAAAAGTCACCATTTTTAATGAGTAAATCAACTATTTCTATGGCCATTTATCTCATTTATCACAGTTTGAATCCCATTTATCCTGACATTGAAAAACCATGAAAATCATCCCATTTATCTCACTTTGACTTTGAAAGAATGTTTACCCTCTGGTAAACTAACATAACTATGGAAAATCACAATGTTTAATGGGAAATGTCACTATAAATCACCATTTTCAACAGCAAACTGTTAAATTACCAGAGGGTCGTTGATGAAAATGATCCCCGTTTCGCCACATCGTCAATAGGCGATGTGGACATCTTTGGAGTCATCCCAGCACGGATTTTTTTTTTCTCATGCCATGACTCCGAGTTGATCAGAAAAACAAAATGCTGGGATGTCCATGCCCCAATATGGCTTATATATGGTTTATATTGGTTTATATTGGTTTATATTGGTTTATATTGGTTTATATTATATGTTAATCTATGTTAATCTATGTTCATCTAATACAACTGTTGATCATGGCACACACAAATCATGGCTGAACCCAATCGAGATGCCATCCGAAAACAATAAAGTGGTAAACCCAATAAACAACCATCCCCATTATCATCATTCTTGTGGGTTGTACAAACCATCCTGAAATGGTAATCTGGTTGGTGGTTTCAATCCCTCTGAAAAATATGATAGTCAGTTGGGATGATTATTCCCAATCTATGGAAAAAATAAATTTCATGTTCCAAACCACCAACCAGCCATTTATATTCCATTACCAGAGGGTTAATCACCATTAATCACCATTAATCACCATTAATCACCATTAAATCACGGAAGGGAGTGAAAACAGGAGTTGCAAAATTCTAAACTTCAAAGTTTATGCTCCACCAGGGCAACCTTCTGGTTTGAGGAGTGAACTCGCGATTTTATCCCAGGCTTTCTTGTAGTGTCTGCAATGGTTATTGCATTGGAACAGCCCCATGGAAGGAGTAAAATCGCGAGTTAGTTCTTTTTTGCCCAAATTTATAAACCTTCCAGCTGCTAGCATCCTCGTGGAAGGACTGAAATCGCAAGTTAATTCTTTCTTGAAGAGAACATGAATGAACGTCACATGTCTGGGTCTCACCATTCCAAGACTCCCTGTGATGAGACGTGCATCCATGCTCGAAGATGCAAGGGAGAAAGAGAAGAGAACATGAATGAACGTCACATGTCTGGGTCTCACCATTCCAGACTCCCTGTGATGAGACGTGCATCCATGCTCGAAGATGCAAGGGAGAAAGAGAAGAGAACATGAATGACCATGCAATGGGTGCTGCTGCAACCCATGTCCTCCCATCCTTCTGCACTCAGCTGAGACGTCAAGCCCGCTTCCGACTCAACCAATTGAACCCTGGTTCCAGGAAGTGTACCACGTCGGTACAGCACCACAGCCAAGGCATGGGACACAAGCAGCCACAACACCATGACCAGGGCACGCTTCATTGCGGATGACCAAGTGCGAGCAAACAATTCGTGCTGCAAAGGCTGCCCGGGCCATGTCCACATGAAACTTCACGTTTCAAACCGTCCCGAACGTTCCGTGGTCCAAATGCGACTGCAACCAGAACCATCCCTCGCAAGACCATATGGTCTTGATTTAAATCTTATTGAAAGGACCTTTTCATTTCAACCGTCCCGAACGTTCCGCGGCAACTGCAACCAGTGTCCCGGACCTCCCAGAAATTTCCTGGAAACAACCTTCGAACTTCAAGGAAAACCGTACGGAACCCACCAGAACCTTGCCGAGAACTGCACAGGAACCTTTCCGAAACCTTGCAGAACCTTCCTGGGAACTGCACGGGAACCTGTCCGAAACCTATCGGAACCACCTACTGTGCGAGAATTAACTCTTGATTTAAGTCCTCCTGAAAGGAACTTTTCAAACCGTCCCGAACCACCCTTCGAGCTGCCAGCAAAACCCACCGGAACCTTGCCGGGAACTGCACGGGAACCTGTCTGAAACCTACCGGAACCTTCCTGGGAACTGTACAAGAACCTACTGTGGGAGAATTAACTCTTGATTTAAGTCCTCCTGAAAGGAACTTTTCAAACCGTCCCGAACCACCCTTCGAGCTGCCAGGAAAACCCACCGGAACCTTGCCGGGAACTGCACGGGAACCTGTCTGAAACCTAGCGGAACCTTCCTGGGAACTGTACAAGAACCTACTGTGGGAGAATTAACTCTTGATTTAAGTCCTCCTGAAAGGAATTTTTCAAACCGTCCCGAACCACCCTTCGAGCTGCCAGCAAAACCCACCGGAACCTTGCCGGCAACTGCACGGGAACCTGTCTGAAACCTACCGGAACCTTCCTGGGAACTGCACAAGAACCTGCCCGAAACCTAGCGGAACCTTCCTGGGAACTGTACAAGAACCTACTGTGGGAGAATTAACTCTTGATTTAAGTCCTCCTGAAAGGAACTTTTCAAACTGTCCCGAACCACCCTTCGAGCTGCCAGGAAAACCCACCGGAACATTGCCGGGAACTGCACGGGAACCTGTCTGAAACCTACCGGAACCTTCCTGGGAACTGCACAGGAACCTTTCCAAAACCTAATAAACTATTCCCCACCCAAACTTCCCAGAACCTGCCGCGGACACTATGGGGGAATTAACTCTTGATTGAAGTCTTCCTAGCAAGTCATCATCCAAAAAAGATTAACTCAAGATGGGTACCAAGTTTTGAAAGTAACTATCCCAGGAGTAAACTCAGGAGTTCATCTTTTGGAACTCTTCTTTCCACTCCTTTTCATTAAATCACCATTAATAAACCTGAAAATCACCATTATGGCATGCGGTTTACCACATTAGGAACCAATTTTTTCAATGGCAACTCAGCTCCAGCATGGCACCTCCATGTCAGGCACTTCCAACGTCACGAAAGCCATGAGGAGAAGACTTTCTGCCTGAGAGCTCATGGCTTTCGTCCGTCATGGCTTTCGGAGAGTCATATCATTGCTTTTTTTCGTCAGAAGGCTTTCAATTTCTGCCAGTCTTCAAGTTCTTCGTTTTTTTCCTCGGATTCTCCGAGCTTCGGAATGTAACGAAGAACTTGAAGAAGCCCATGGCCGAATGTTTTCCCAGAATCCCTGGTTTTTTCTGTTTTTCTCTACTTGTGCAACCGCCAGTTGCAACGTTTTTTCCCCGAGCTCACCACAGAGGTTTCTGGAAACTCTGTAAGGCGGCGAGTACCTGTGGGCAGTGGGTGGCCAGGTGAGGATTACCTGCAAAAAAACGGTGATTTTTAGTGAAAATCCATGAGTAACCCGTTAAAAAAATATAAGTTGGTAAATCCTACAAGAAAAGTGATAAATTATGATAAATTACTATTATTCTATCTTTTTGGGGGGTTAGTGTATGTGCAAAAAATAGCCATTAAACAGGAGCATATCAAAACGAAGTGTCTAGCTTAAAGTTGACAATGCATGGGGAGGGAACACCTACAAGAATTGGGAGATTTTTTTCAGGAATGGCAACAGATGTAGAACCAATAATTCCAGGATATCAGCAAGTGATTGATCGTTGATGGCTGTGGGTGAAAGCTACCAACTTTTATTGCGGATTGACCTTGCCAATCGTCGCATCCAATCATGCCTCACATACAGCTCCCCTGAGACTCTCACCCCCCCATCACAATATTGTAGCATCTTTTGCTGGTGGTTCTTTTCCATGTGCAAACATCTATTCAGGAATTTCCACTTATTTTCCACCTGCAAAAAACTAGGATTTTCCACCTCTCCAGTTGGGGGTGGTGATCAACCCCCAAAGAAAGCCAAAGGCCAAGGGCACCAGCATACCAATCAGGTGCCACCTTGGGCATCAGCAACTTTTGCCTCGGGGTTTCACCAAGAGAGGCCACATCCAACATGCTCCTGAATGATTTATGTTACCACGTGCCAAAATTTATGGAAGAAACGTGGCAGTTTGGCCATTCAAAACGGCTCTTAAAAACGAGCACTTCAGAGTTATACAAGAGTTATTAACGGTGGTCATCTTCGATTTGGAGGGCCCCTCATTTCTAGTGGTTTGGCCATGTCCCCCAATGGTATACCCTCTGGTAAACTAACATAACTATGGAAAATCACCATTTTTAATGGGAAAATCCACTATAAATGGTCATGTTCAATAGCTACGTTAAATTACCAGAGGGTATGTGATATCATTTGATACATCTCCAACCACCGTTTTTTTGTGTACCAAACTGGCCAGCATGAATCAGTTGAATCCCCCCATGTTGCTGAAAACTCCCCATATTTTCCATGATAAAGAAGCCCCATGGTTTGAAGCTTAGAGCACGACTTTTTGATCCGAAAAAAACAGCATTTTGATGGTTAAACATCCAATTTGACGCTTTTTTTGCTCCTTTTTTCTGAGGTACGAGCACGATTTTACCCATCACATTTTCCACCATCTGCAGAGCCTCGCGGAGCGCAGATGCACGGCGATACAGGACTTGTAAGTGGTGGAGGGAGCCTCGTGAGTTGTCGAACTTTGATATATTTACATGTAGATGTTTGTGTGTGTGTATTGCGTATAATATCTACAGTATATACATAAACATACATGTATATACACATCCATCTATCGATCGAATCAAAGCAAATCTATACAGTATACAGACAGGTACATAATTCATGGATAATTCATTTCCTGGGATCCCATTCCGGCCGGGTTTCTACCATACGTAAGTTATTGCTGTGTCAACAACTGGTCATCTTGCCACCAAAGGATGATGCTAGATCCAAAGTTTTCCCCATTAAAACATCCTCATTCTTTGGATTTATTTGGGTGGTCAAAATTGGGTCCCCTTTCAATCCCTTTCATACAGATTACCCTCTGGTAAACTAACGTAACTATGGAAAATCACCATTTTTAATGGGTAAATCAGGTAAATCCACTATAAATGGCAATTTTCAATAGCTATGTTAGTTTTCCAGAGGGTAACACAATGCGAATGACGAAAATCGCAGGTTTTTCGACGTTTTTCGTCTAAAAATATTTGACCCATAGCCCACGTCCACTGCCGCTGAGTCACACTCGCCATGATCCCCATGGTGTCCCCCAGTTATCATCCAAATTTCACCATATGTAATAATTATTGAAATATATATATACATATTATATGTATATATTATATGTATATATATATATTATTTATATATATTAATTATATTATATTTAAGCTGGGGGATCCCCCATTTTAGGAAACTAGCCGAAAGCATGGGATGGGATAGTCTTGGATGATCTTGGATGGTTGCAAATGTTGTCCTCACGAGAGGTTCTTGATAGCACAAGCTTCGAAAAATCAGGTATCTGACTCAATCGGGTTTCCATCAGCACACTTCACACAGTCCTGCGAAAATCCGTGGCGCTTGAGATTTTTACTTTAACTGACTTTAACTCATCCAGTGTAATGAGGCTTTCCAAAATATTGCAAAGGGCGACTGGAAACCATTGGAAACCCCACCAAAAATCATACTGCAACTACCCTCTGGTAATTTAACATAGCTATGGAAAATGGCCATTTAATTATAGTGAGTTTTTCCATTAAAAATGGTGATTTTCCATAGTTATGTTAGTTTACCAGAGGGTAATTGGATATGATTTTCCTCCATGACCCAGCAGCAGCAGTTTAGCCACTGAATCTCCGGTTTCGCCGTTTCGCCAGTGGTTCGACACATCGACTGCTACCGAAACCATCGACTAACTATCCAAGGCTGGGGATGAAATTGATGAAATTTAAGCATCGGAACTGCTCATTACCCAAACTATCAATTGTGAGGTCTGCCACAAAGTCGCTCAGGTCACCACAGGATCCACAGCTGCAGTTTTTCACCATTCTCAGCAGCCACGGTTAGTGCACGGACGTATCTTCGCGGCCGTAGACCGCGCGGCATTCTCACAGGGCTTTACTTTTGAACCATGCAATTTTTCGGCCGAGGTTTCATTGCCCTTGCGAATGGATATGTTGTTCCAAACTCGCCCAAAATCGGATTTTAAAAATCAGAATCCTACGACTGAGCATCAATTTTGTTCCACACTCCACTTGGGAGCTTGATAAATTTATCGGCGTAGGCATCCATCTTGTAAAGGCGTTTTCGAAGGTCGTTGCACTTCTTGCTGGCATCATTGATGTTGTCAATCAAGGACTGGTAGTCCTGAGTTCATCATCTTTGCTCAGGACATCTGTGAAAATCTACTTCTGACAACTTGAGGTTTTGCAGCGATACAACTTCATAAGTTCAGGAAAACAGCCGGAGAAACTACGGATTTCAGCAGGATATTCGGTCTCCAAAGTCGGGGCGATGTGAAGTGGACCAAATATTCACCCGCCATGTCTGCCCTTTGTTTGGTAAATTCATTAGCATTTTTTTTTCTTAAGGTTTTCCACACTGGATCCCCAACATGGATGAGAACTGGAGCTACCCCCATTTAGGAAACCTCCACATACACCATGTTCCCCCAAAAAATGTGATCTGGTGGATCTTTGGGGAACCCTACGGCCCCCACGCTAATACACTATAGTCTAGTACAGTCTTGTATAGTATGGTTTAGTTTCGTATAATATAGTCTAATTATAATCAGTCTAGTACACTCTAGTATAGTCTCATGTCGTCTCGTCTCTTTCTAAAACTAACTATCACTGACCTTATTTACATCATCATCGTTTCGGTGGTCATCATCACCACCACCACCACCACCATCATCATCATCATCAGGCTCGCCCCTGGGATGCAGCATTTTCCCACTTTTTCTCCACGTTTTACGGCCCGTTCTCGCCCATTTTTCCACGATTTTTCAAATACATTTCCTGCCCGTTCCAGGCCGAAGTACGTTCCAACCTGCGGCTTTTGTGCTCAGCACTTTCCATAAACACCTGCCACTCCTCCTTGTCCGCATGCCGTCTCACAACCATGCCGCTTGCATCTACCAACTTGACTCCTTTCTGTTTAATCTCCAGGGTGTTACACGCCAGTTTCTACACAAACTAACTTTTACGCCAGCTTTTGCACAAACACTCTTTTACACCAAGCACTTTTTTGCAGAAATCCACTTTTGGACCAACCAGTTTTTACAAAAATGTTGGCCTTTCAATTGAAAACACGAATTTGCCATCTTCTTGAAATGTTAAACCATATTTCAGCCGTATAATTTATATAACTTAAAAACCTACTGTATTATAATATCTCATAATCAAAGAAAGTTTCGTAGAGGAACTCCGAGTTACGGATGAAATGCAATAGCATTACCCAAAAGGTCTTTAAGTCCAGTTGGCATGTTCCTAGAGTATCCTAGAGTCATCACCCTACATCATCACCACCTCACATTCACACCACCTCAACTCAACATAAATTGACAACATCCCACACCATCACCACCTCACATTACCACAACATCACATCATCACCACGCGAACTGCGCCACAGACAGATTCCACGCAAGACAAACCTGAAGCACTTTTGAAACCTCCGGGCCATAGGAGGAACCAGAAAAACATGAAAACGAATGGCTTGCATCCGCATCAAAAACGAGCTACCCTTCATTGCCGGCTGCAGCCACTTTACACGAAAAAACACAACGTTTCGTGCTGTGGCATCCTCCCCGACACAACTCTCCTGCAACATTCATGCAGCCATTTCAATGCGATCTGCACCACCAAGTAGCAAACACCCATGTATCTACGCACATGGCAGCACAACATGGCAACATTCATGCAGCCATTCCAATGCTATCTGCCATTAAAATGCAATGTATTGTTGTGTATGTATTGTGATGATATGCATGGTTGTGTATGTTTTGTTATGTATGTCTTGTTATGTTATGTATTGTTATTGCTATTCCAGTCGTCCGTAACTCTGAAGATCGCTTCCCAACTTCCTTTGACAATCTAACAAAATAATATAAAAAATAAAACTATGTCATAGTTGAATATAGTATGATATAATATATTTAATGACATATATATATTATATATATATACTACCCTAGTTTTTGATGCTTAAACGACAATTTCCCTGAACAATGAATATCCCCAAGAGTCCGCTTGCAACTGCATCGCGTACTTGTTGTCGTACTTTCGATCTTCGGCCTAATCAGCCATGTTGATCCATTCGGAAATAAGAGACCCGGCTGGCTACTAACAAAGCACTACTCAAACATATGTCATATATGGTAAAACATGGCATATGGTTTCTGGTCATCCATGGTCATCCCACCATCAATACGACTCATTATAATGGATGCATAAATCATGAAATAAATCCACAGCAATGGATTGATGGCCATCTGCGAATCTGGCGATCAATTCTTGGCCGTAAATGTCGGAAAAAATGATATCTGATTGGTGGTATACCTACCCCTCTGAAAAATATTAGTCAGATTGGATCATCATCCCAACTATGGGGGACAATAAAAAATGTTCCAAACCACCAACCAGATATTGGACTACTGAACCATCCAATTTTCGGGGGAATTCCACATGTCCAAAGCGATGTCAAACTTTGAAAACCTCCGCCCCTAAGCGCATGGTGACAGCCACCGCCCAGTTGGTATCCCTGTTTCATCCCATAAACTGCCTGGTTAAGTGGCAGGATTTCCCATATGAGAAACTCCCCCAAGATATCAAGGCTTGAAAGACATAGTATCCCCCCAATTTCCCATGGATCACTATTTCAAGATATTTCAAGGCTAGCGGCTAGTGTATAACCCCCTAGAAAACATCCTTATACAATCATCAACAGGGGTAGATCGCAGCCACGTCAGCTTGTCCGGAGACAAGCTGAAGGTGGCACCTTCATGTGCATCGTCAGCGAGTTGTTCACATTCAATACTGGAGAGACAGGTGCCTTGTGGGAGACCCCCCAGGACAGGGCATGGCCATGGCCGGACAAATTTCTCATTTCTTGCGAGGGGGGAATTGGAACACCGAGAACTTTGTACGGCAAAGTTGAGAAGAATCATGAACAAAGATTTGAATGGATTTGAGAACAATGTTCCAGATTCATATCCCATGGATGTATGGAACAATATTGGGATTTGACATGGGATTGGAAGAAATGGTGACTTCGCTATGACAATCTTCCAGAAATGGCCAGAAATGATCCCAATATATCCCAATTTCTGGCAAAGGGAAGCCAGGTGTTCAACAAAGATGATGGCGGACTGGGGGAGCTCACAAGAATGATGAACAGAACCAAGGGAAACCGTAATTGATTTTTTTTGCAAAGATGAGACATGACTGACATGACCAGCATGAACGACAGGTGATTTCAATATTGCTCAACAATAATCTGCCTAAATGGGAAACATTCATGGGCATTCCCAGGTCATGGATTGTGAACGTTCCGGATAAAGAGAAGAATCCCCGGGGAACAAACAACCATAATTTCTCGATGATTTTGCAGTGTTTGACGCTGAACCCCGAATAAATGATGCGCGAATCAGTCCGTTCAACTACAATTTAAAAACTCATCCACCAACCATCATTCATCAATTCGATCCCTTTCTAGTCGCTTACAAACACATGATGGTCAAAACCCCATTCAAAGACGAATTTTATTGGTACCCCCGGCAGATTTGAGCAATTAAAAATATACCCTGTTTTCCTGTCTCATGAAATACTAATTGTTTTTTATCAGTTTCCCTAACATGGGAATCCCCAGTATCTTAGCTAGTACAAGTCCCTAGTTCTGAACCAATGAACCAGATTCAACCAGGGTCTTATTTTCATGGCTCAATTGGGTAAACCCCATCTGGCCAAATTAGAATAATTCGCACGTCGTCACCTCTTCCTTAATTTGCATGTGTGACATTTTACCTCGTTATTTTAGGTTTGAGGAATTACTGGGCTCGCGCCTTTGCCTAAAAAAAACCGCCATCCCAAAAGTGTTTTTTGTTGTTTCGAACAATACAGGAAGTATGGAACGAGTGAAATACGTAAAAAAAACTTTGTTCCAGACCTATTGGGAAGGTATCCAGACCTATCTGTGGACATGGATGGCGATTTAAGTAATTCACGCCACGAGATAAGGCTGAAAAGTTTTTGTTCATAGTCCATGCAAAAAGTAAGTAAACAGCCTTATCTCGTGAGGGCGTGAATTAGTTAAATCGCCTTGCGTCAACTTAGCTATCATAAATCAGCATCATAAAATGCCCTATTCTTGGTGGAATTCACGTAATTATTCGGTTTCCTATGGTTTTTCATGAAGATTTTCCTGTGGTTTCGTTATGTTTCGTTGCTTTTCAATGGTGGCTTACTGGGAAAATCATCGAAGTCATGTCGGTTGCCAGGTCGATGGTGCCAAGCCGCGTGGGTGGGAAAAGGGACGGTGACGTTGGCCCTCCAACGCTTGGGATGTTCTCCATGAGGGCCATAAGGAGACGAGGTAATGGTGTTGCCCACACCCCAGCCTAGGCGACAAAAAATCCCCATGGAAAAATCAAAAATTGGGAATCCAGCAATCCAAAGGGTTTGACACTTTGCGAACTGGAAAATCACAATTTGAACCGGGAAATCCACTACAACTGGGCCATTTTCAATAGCGAACTGTACAAAAAAAACGGAAGGAAATATGGAAGGACATATGTGCGAAAATATGGCATCATGAAAAATCAAGTTTTATAGCTGGGAAATCAAGGGAAAATCGCGGAAAATGATTTGTGCAAATGGAAGCTTATAGCAGGTAAAATCTTGTGAAACTATGGAACAATATGGGAAATCCAGGAACTGAAATGGAGGTTCATAGCTGGAAAATCAAACTATTGCTGCTGGATTTTCCAGCACGCCATGGAGCTGATTACCAGAGGGTACGAGTAGTTGGAAAATAGACATTGGAAACCATGTGTTTTTCCAGCCAAAGGTTCCCTTGCATCCCAGGACGTAAGTGGTTAATGAACCTCATAATACAGGATTCCATAAATTACTAGGGTATATGGGGGTTTCCATTGCCATGGGGGGTACCCCAATAGCTGGATGGTCTATTTCATGGAAAATCCCAGCTATAAATGGATGACTTAGGGGTACTCCTATTTCAGGAAACCTCCATATCCTATATATATATATATATATAACTCAACTATGAGCGGGTGGACTTTCGGTCATGGGGATGACTTTGGGAGAATTGGGACCGGAAACTGGCTGCTTTTCCCCAGAAAAATGCTGGGTAAGCGATTTTTCAAAACCTCCTATTCCCTCTAATATGGTTAAAACAGTAATAAACCACCCCATTTTTGATGGTCTATACCAACCATTTGTTGTGATTTTGGGTATGGTAAACATGGCATTGCTTTTACCACATGAAACAACAATTCTGTGACTCAGAAATCGAGTGAGAAACTCAGCACATATCATCCCAAGGAGGCTTTCTGACATAGGAACTAGCAACTGGTAAGCTAACATTTTGCTATGGAAAATGGCCATAGAAATAGTTGGTTTACCCATCAAAAATTGTGATTTTCCATAGTTATGTTAGTATGTTTACCAGAGGGTAGCAATGAACTGGGGCTATTCGAAAGATATATTGGCACCACAATCACTCATCTGGTTGGTGGTTGACCTACTCCTCTGAAAAATTGGCGAAAGTCAGTTGGGATTATGACATTCCCAACTGAATGGAAAAATAAAAAATGTTCCAAACCACCAACCAGTAATTGACGATAATGCGGATGCCCTGTTCCTCAGGATGATAATGTTCAATTGAGCCTACATCTCGTATCTTGTGGGTTCAAACCAGAACAGCCCAGGCAACCCTATTTTATTATGAACATCAACAAGCAATGTGGATTTGTCTGAATACTATCTCAAAATGGTCGATCATCCTTTATCGACTTGAAATTGCCACGAACGGGTGTTGCTGAAGCAAGTTTCAGATACACCCATTTGATATTGCTCATTACACATATATGTATACATATATATATATGATATATATTCTAATTTTCATCATGCACATCTAAATGTATCTGTGTTGGATTCTATATCCCATTATACATATATATATATGCATATACATGTATCCCCGCTTCATTGTGACCCCCCAACAAAAATCACACATACCCTCCGGCAATCAAACGCAGCAATGAGAATTCTCCCAAAACAGGAGTTTTTTGATGGAAACATCATCTATACTTGGATGTGCATCCCACTTCGTACGTGGTCTATAATTTATAATCCATATATAATCCATATGTAACCCCTATTTCATCACATATATACCTGGGATATTCATTCATCTAACATTGGTTATAACCTATTTACTAAGTGGGGCCCGCACATCCTTCAATAAACCGACCATTTCAATTGCCACCTTTGATGGCACCCAGGGTAGCCATGGGTAAATCCATGGAAAAGGTGTCCCTTGCGCCGCAAGAAACGCTTACGGTCCACAATGGTGTTATAGTTCCATACTGCCTCCATCTCCTGTGGGCCAGCAACTCACCATGTGTTAATCCATCCGTGAACGAAGTGCTGAAAAAATCTGACCAGAATATGACTCTCGAATTCAATTATAGGTGAATTACAGGAAAATGTATACTATTTTATAGTGTATTATACTACAATTATAGTGTATTATACTACAATTATAGTGTATTATACTACAATTGTAGTGTATTATACTATTTTCCAGGTGGATGTGCCTTACCCACTAAACGGGATGGGTAGCAATTGTGCATTTCTCATTGAGAAACCCCCCAGGTATTGGTAGCAATGGCGTTCACTCAAAAGACCCTAGGAGGGTCTGCCCTTTCCACATTTCAGAAGTGGGTACCAAGTGGGTACCCAAAAATATCGTGCTTAATTACGCTTAATTATGTGTAATTCATCTTACACTTATAGACTTATAGCCATGAAAAATCATAAACGGTCCCATCCCCCACTTTCAGACAGACACCCACTGGTCAGCCGGGGCTGTTGTTTCAGCTGATCTCCTTGTTCAAATAGATCAGGATCTTGTTGATGTAACCTTGGATTCGCTTCTCAGAAGCCCAAATAAAACATCTTGCCTTCTTCGATTCTCCAGTCTTATAATGCGGCTAAAAATGCTAAAGCAATAACAAAGCATCCCCCAGTCATCACCATAAAATAGGTGCTATGTTTACCATTCCCAGTCATGTGTGGTAAAAATGGCATTGTTTTACCCGTGGATTTCTAGGAAAATTGGCTCCAGGAAGCGCGCACGTGGAGGCAAGTCTTCTCCTTTGATGGAACGGCGTCGGCGGCCATAGCTGCTCTGCAACTCCTCATCTGACACTTCATCTGACTCCTCATCTTCATCTTCCTGACTGGGATAGAAAAACGATGGGGACATGATGGGTAGCATGGGAATGTGATGTGATCTATCTGTATATTAACACATATATATATATACACATACATCAACAGATACATAAATATAGATATACATTCCCCCAATTTTAGCCGTGGCTTTGCTTATTCGAGGTCACCTAAGTTTTGTCGTTTGAAGTGTCACTGCTAAGAAGACTGCCAGGCTACTTCATCCCATTTAGTAAGTGATCCGTGGGATATTTGGAGGTGCGGGCCCCACTTAATGGGTGAAAAAAACAGTTAGATTAATGGAATATCCCACCTATGGGATGAAATAAGGGTTATATATGGGTTATAAATCACTTACGATTTGTAAGTGGGGCCAACACATCCAAGTGATCCTTCCAATAGTGAAACCTTCCAACTCCGCACGTCCCTTGAAACATCCCTCTGCCTGGAGCAAGGACTTTCGATTCCAAATCACGGCTCTTCCGGTGGCATTTTCAATCTTCATCATCCTAGGCTGAGTGTTCAGTGTATCCCGAAATGTCATTCTACTCAAGCCTGGCTGGTTTATTAGTATTCTGATCAATATCATGGATTATTAATTTTAGGGATTCCAATTGATGCGAAATATTGGAGTCCTCACTCATGGATTATTCAGATTACCAGCCTGAGTCCTCCACCTGAGTCCGGGGTGCCCCAAGCAAGAAAATGAGTTTCGACCGGGATTGTTTAATGAGATTAATGACTGGTTTTGGCCAGTTTTATATGTTTATAGTTTTTGAAATGGAATCAAATCAATTTTTTTGGTTTTGAACCAAAGAATTTTTGGGGATACAATGGGGGTATTTCACGGTATGTATAGATATTGATACAGTTGTTAAATGTATATCTGGATTTCTCCAGAAATGGAAGTTTTACATCAGTTAATGGGAATTCGTGGGAGAACATGAATTTCGAAAAATATGTAGTTTTTTTCGTGTGCTTTCCAATTTGTTGGACAACCTCAAAGCAGCATTTTAGATTTTCAGATCGGTCATGGTTCCTCGATGATTCTGGGAACCTGCACATCTGTTCCAACCACAACACAATCCATGATGTTTTTGCTGAGGCGCGTGTAGTTCACGAATTTCTCCAATTCAGCCAGATATTGATAGTTCGTGACAATGGGTTTCTGCAACGGAGCCAAAATGTGTTTGAAGTGGTTCTTAGTCTTGCCTGGGCTGATCGAGAAACTTGAACAGATATATGATATACGCATGTGTATATATATATATATACATCTACAAATATACAAATATACAAATATACATATATACATATATACATATATACATATATATATATACATTTACACAAATATACAAATATACAAATATACATATATATGCAAATACACAATAATACACATATGTGCAAACAGGCGCGCGGTTGCATGACCACCTCCTGTATCCATGTGCAAAAGACAAAAACACGGAAACTTCTTCTCCAGGGTGCTGTTTATTTTTTTTGTTGCTGTTCATTTTGCCAACATCCTGATGTCTAGGCGATGATGTCTAAACAGCAGGTGGCAGTACCTGATCTGCTGAGAGGCGGACCCGACAAGATGTGAGCGTGTTTTTTCGTGATTTTTGTTCTCGAGAGCGTCTGAGCGAAGGGTTCTTCTAATAGCGAGGGAATGTCAAACACTTTCACATCTTCACATCTGCTCATCTTCACATCTTCTCATCTTCAATCTTCTCATCTTCACATCTTCTCATCTTCACATCTTCTCATCTTCACATCTTCTCATCTTCACATCTTCACATCTGCTCATCTTTACATGTTTTACATCTTCTCATCTTCACATCTTCTCATCTTCACATCTTCTCATCTTCACATCTTCTCATCTGAACATCTTCACATCCTCACATCTTCACATCTTCTCATCTTCGCATCTTCTCATCTTCACATCCTCGTATCTTCACATCTTCTCATCTTCACATCCTCACATCTTCACACCTTCTCATCTTCACATCTTCTCATCTTCACATCACATCTTTTACATCTTCTCATCTTCACATCTTCTCATCTTCACATCTTCTCATCTTCACATCTTCTCATCTTCACATTTTCACATCCTCACATCCTCACATCTTCACACCTCACATCTTCACATCTTCTCATCTTCACAACTGCTCATCTCTTCGCATCTTCTCATCTTCAGATCCTCACATCTTCACATCTTCTCATCTTCACATTACATCTTAATGTCTTCTCATCTTCACATCTTCTCATCTTCACACCTTCTCATCTTCACGTCTTCACATCCTCACATCTTCACATCCTCACACCTTCCCATCTTCACATTCTCTCTTGCCCTCTTGCTCTCTCCTTCTTTTCTATTTCTCTCTTAAGGCGCGGGGCAGTGCCAACGAGACGGCACGAAACGCAAGCCTTTCGCACAAAACGAGGTTCGATCGCCAAAAACTGTGGTAAAATTGCGATTTTACAACTTCGGCAGCGACCCATTCGCACGAAATGAGGTTCGATCGCCGAAAAATGTGGTAAAATTGCGATTTTACAACCTCGGCGGCAACCCTTTCGCACGAAATGAAGTTCGATCGCCGCAAACTGAGGTGAAATTGCGATTTTACAACCTCGGCGGCAACCGTTTCGCGCGAAATGAGGTTCGATCGCCAAAAACTGTGGTAAAATTGCGATTTTGAGTGTGCCGCGACAACCCTACATACATTACATAGCACCCCACTACATTACATTACATTGCACTACAGTACACTACATGACACTACATTACACTACTCTACATTACATTGTACTGCATTACATGCATGCCTTTGACAATACATATACGTATACTAATATTATCTTGGGATGGCAAATCGTGGAACATCACAATAAAGTAATCCCATCCCCCGTTCATATTAAACACCCCCTAAACGAAACCATGGTTTAGGGTATTTCCACGTTTTTTTGGGACCACAGATGGTGGGTGTTTTTTAAATTAGGGGAAGGGGATTAAAATCTTGTAAATGGCTTCAAAAAACCATACATAGCCCTAGTTATATGAGTTATGATTCCATAAAAATAACTCTTACCCTCTGGTAAATTAACATAGACCCTGAAAATGACCAATTTATAGTGGAAACTAGTCTTCCAACCCCTATTTGGCAGGGTCTATGTTAATTTACTGGAGGGTAATTAGTTGGCAAACTAATTAATCTGACTCTCCACCAGTTGCTGTTGATGTCTTTCAACCAACTTTCATCTCCCTCTTGCAGCTCCTCAAAAACGGAACGGCAAAACATCTGGGGAACGGCCCGTAACGGGAAATGTTCTTAACACTTTGCGAAGTGGAAGCCATGGCCCATGATAAAAATGATGTTTTACATTGATGATAAACTGGAAGATTATAGATGGTAAAAATTGACTGATTCTCCAGTTCGCACACTTTTAAATGATCAGAGGGAAAGTCGATGAGAATGGCCGATGTTTCTTTATGATTTATACTTATTATCTTAGAATCTTCATCGTGATTTCCAGTTCGCAAACGGAACTGTATAAGTTAGCAGATGGACGTCCGCATGAAACAATCTCCCCCACTGGTGGCGAATGAATCACCAGGAACTCTTCAGTCTGAAAATGGCGGGAGCTATCTCCCATATAGCTTGATGTTGGGAACCAATGGTAATGGGGTGCCCGATTTTCAGATAAACCCAAGTCTGCTTCAACGCTGTTTTTTCTCTTTTTAGAAAAGAAGGATCCCCCTTGCTGCATTGCTCATTAATCATCTAGAAATCATTGTTCAATCATCTACTATCATCTAATTCGTCAAGCATGTTCCAGTGGCAAAATCCGTTCGCCCCACACCCCCATGTTAGGGATGCCGAGGGTGCGGATGTAGGTATCTCGGTATCCCATTGCTTGGAGATCACCATACCCAAGAACCACCAGGAAATTGGTGAGTTACAGGGGATGATCCCGTGCCCAAAGATTTGGTCAACCCAACTGACTGTTGTGACTGGGAAGCAGTGGTTAAACTCTGAGGTTTATCAACTTCAACTATCATGAGAAATGTAGAACCCTGCAAGAATACACATTTCCAAGGTTTTTAGTGGGACAGTGAATCATTAACTGGTTGGTGGTTGAGCCCAACCCCTCTGAAAAATATGAAAGTCAGTTGGGATGATTCTTCCCAATATATGGAAAAATAAAAAATGTTCTAAACCACCAACCAGTTCAACAATCCATGGCTAGAAAACCAGCTGTGTTTTCACTCCAGCAGTGCTAACAACCCTCTGTCATCCCAGTCGGTTGATACACCAAGAAAGTCGCGTCGCAAAATTGTGCCAGCTCGCTGCGTTTTGGGAACCAAAAAAGACCAAGGGTCCACATTTTAACCCCCCCAAAATCCCAAAAAATAAACATCGATGATACATTTTAAGTAACATTTTGATCACCATTTTTAATAACATTATTAACACTATCATATCATACATTACCAAAATCACCATTTCGCTGTGACAAAACTTCCATTTCGACGGTTCAGTCGATCCGCCGGGTAGTTTTTAACCCGACTCAGTCACTGATTCACTAACCGGGTGACTTGGGGCTCGACTATCAATAAGTCACTGTGAGACTGTGTAAACGCTGACGAAAAAAACTACCACCTACCACCTACCAACTGAGATTTATTTCACACTGATGGTTTTTCGAAATCCTGAAAACCAGTTGGTAGGTGGTCGAAATCCCAATAGAATCACATGAAATTTACACTGTTTCATAGGAATCCCAATAGGAATCCCAACTGGTGCAGGATTTCGCAACCACGCATCAACAATATGACCCATCTACCAAGTGGGACCCTGGGACAATAGTAATGATTAGTATTTCTATGGGATAAACCATTATCATGGGATGATAACAATTATTAGTACTAATGGGATTGCAATATGAGAATTTTTTGGGATTACCCAAGAATACCAACAAAAAAATATGGACCAAAAAACTATGATGGGATTACAATGGATTACATCTAATGTTCATATATATATATATATGTCATACCTAGAGCACCCTCAGGCCAGAATTTGAGCCTGAACGTGTTCGGACCTTTTTTTCTGCCTGACCTTTGAAATCTCGCCTGCCTCTAAATTCTCGCCTGGAAATGCTTTCTGCAATTATGCTCAAGATGGCATTTCCAGCCTGAATGGACAACCTCGCCTGAATTGATGTTCAGGCTAAAAGACAGCCCGAGTCCCAAAATGGCTACTATTTGGTTTCAGCCCCAAATTTCCGCCTGTTGGAGGCTGCAGGTATATGGTAATAAATTGTATAAACCATATATAATGCATCACTATGAGGAGGGCCACTGCTGATGGAAGAACTCGGATGATATGTATATATATATATAATACATACATATATATATATATAATTATATTTTTTTGAACATTAGAGTATCATCATCATATGGTATATATATAGTATATATATATATACCATATGATGATGATACTCTAATGTTCAAAAAAATATAATTATATATATATATATGTATGTATTATATATATATACATATCATCCGAGTTCTTCCATCAGCAGTGGCCCTCCTCATAGAGATCTTCACCGACGCTCTGCTCCTGACGATGAATGAGGCACTTGCGGAGCCGTGCGGACGGACCGCACCATTCCCGTGGCTTTCATGGGGGAACATCAAACATGGCTGGAAAAACCCTGATCAATGAAGGTTTCGTTCCCTGGGAAAATCATTTATGGCGTGTTGCCCACTGCTACGGTTGAGCGCTACCTCTGGTTATACCCAAGTTTGTGTTCGAATCCCATGGTTTCTTCACCATGGTTTTTACCCAAAAATAGCACCCCCAAGTAGCGCAAAAGCGCAACATCAACTCATCAAGCGCCGAAATCCTGCAAATATCAGATGAAACTCATGGCATCAAGCCTCATCGGCCTCATTTCTTGCTTCGATCTTATGATGTTTGTTGCTCAAAAATCCCGAGTTTGCCCTTCAACTCCGGAAACGACATGAAACCAACAAGAACAGCCCTAGCTTTTCTGGCGAACGGCTGCCTTTCTTTGTAGGCATGGCCAGCTCCATGTGATTCCAGCAGTAGCACTAGCTATCAACACCATGGATCCATGGATCATCCCGTAGAGCGGATGGAAACTCCGCCCGCAACGGTGCACGCATGGTATCCGGAAGCAATTGCAATAGCGAAAAAAATAGCTTTAGCTTCGGCTGGCCAAGCTAAAGCTCTAGAACCCTGTGCTTTCCCACGTTTTTGTTAAAGGGGCCTACAATCGGCTAAGTTGCCAAACTTGAGCTCAACATGGTCCAACATAGGCCCAACATGAACCCAACATAGGCCCAAGATAGGCCCAACATGGGCCCAAGATAGGCCCAACATGGGCCCAAAATGTTATCGCGTCATACCATTTCTGCATGATATGGGATGTTCAAAAAAAAGGTGGTTCATCAAGTCCAGTGCTTGATCATGATTTGGCTATGGATCAATACCATTCAATACCTATACATACCATTTTTAGGGGGATGAACATCCATAAATCCCAGCTATTTTGATGTGAACTACAGGGGTACTATTGGTTTTGACACACTGCCATTTTCCGAAAAGCTGCAATGTGTGTTTGCCCCATCCCGCCACTATAGCCTAACATCAATGGCTTGCTTTAAGAGAAAATCGACCGGAAAAGCCACTGCTTGTGCTTTTCCCATCAAACAATGGGGGAGGTCCTATAGATGTTCCCCTCAAACCAATCCAACCAATCCAACCAATCCAATGATGAGCGTTTCTGTTCGGCTCCTTCTTCAAGCCCTTGAGCTGAATGGCATTCAAAACGCACTCACCATCTCCACAGTCATCCTCTTTCAAGGCGGAGTCCAGGGAGACTTCCTGAGAATGAAGAGAGACACCGCTCGTTTTTTGGGGACAGATGGTTACCATAGGATTAATTGGATGAATGGTATGAATGGGACTAATCAGATTTTTGTTTCATGATTCATTGGATTGGTTTAAGGGAAAATTTGCAGCCAAGCCCTCGATTTGATGGTAGACCATGGTTTCCTCTAGATTTTCCTCTAGATTGTTCAATCCAATGGTTATTGCTAGAAAATCCTCCAAAAATCCGGGTGGCGGCTTGGTGGGTGCCGAAAAATTTTGGTCCTAGGTCAAGCCGATATTTGGATCACTAGGACCACACCTTTAGGGTTTAATCTTTAGGCTTTCCATTACTGATAGTTGCATAGCTACTAGCATCTCTTCTCCATCTCTGCAAAAGCAAGTCCTGATATATAAATCTATCCTAGTATATATATATATATCACATATCTGTGATGTAGGCTTAAGCGAGCCAAAACGTAGGCTTAAGCGAGGTACTGACCCTTAATTTTGCGGAATTTTGGGGGCAATACTTTTCTGATTAGTTCAGGGCGTAGCTAAAAAATCTTGAACAATGTCTAGCAACTAACAAACCTAAAATAGATTGAAAGTTGGAAATCTGAAAATCATGAGGGAAAGGTCATCAACAAAATAAACCATCCTGGAAAATCTATTGAATCTATTCTATCTGGGCGTCTATGTTTGGATCTGCATCAATATAAATCAGGTCTCATTATGCGTCAAAACCACTTTGTACTGAAATTCAAAGATCATGATCATGATATACATTGATATACATAATACATCAAACAATAAAAATAATCTCAAACATATGTTTTTTTGAACGAACATGTCTCTACATCTCAATTTCATCTGAAAAATGCTGCGTTTTGGTCCATGCGACTGAGGCTACAGGCAAGGCCAGCAAGGCAAAACGCACAAAACGCAACATGGCAGGGAAAAGAGGTTCGACCTTCACAGCGCGGGGGCACAACGACTGGTCCTACGCCTGTCCCTAAACAGCATCCAGGAATTGGCAAAAATTGGCAAAAATTGAGGATTATAAGCCATAGTTATGGGATTATAAGCCATTATACCAGGTTATAATCCCATGAACTATTAGCATCCATGAGGTTCCCACAATTGGGATGCTGTCTGGGTCTGGGTCGATTGAGCCGATTGACCTAAGGGACACACTTTGCACACGGCGCCAAGCGCGATGTTTTTCAGCTTGCGGCCGATGTTCACTTGTCCTGCTCTCGTTTGAGATACGGCGACCATGTTGTCCTACTGTTTTTTTAAAACAGGCCACTTTGGCGGACATCACTCAACTGACACATCCACATTGCCGAAGTGTTCTTGCCAATGATGGATGGTTTTTGTTTTGCACAGGGCATGAGCCAATTCGACAAAAAACACGCAGACTTGAAAAAGGCAGACATTTATGCACATCAATTTCACAGACTGGCCAAGAGTTCTTCCTTGGGCGAAAAAAACCTCCGAAACATGAGTTGGAAAAAAAACAACAACAGTGAAGGAAAGACGTCGGTTGGAAGGAACAAAAACAGCGAGATACTGTAAGGAATTCGAATGCCATCCATGTAATGGCCATTTAGACTCTCTAGAAAATGATCTTAAGCCACGGCGATGTGCAAAGGATTTCCCATTGCGGATGAACACATTTCACCTGCGCTGCAAAAAAGCCTGGTCGCTCCAGGAATTTCCGATGGATTAGCTCACCATTCTCAGCCTCAGGCAATGTCCATCATCTTGGAATTGCTAAATGCCCCAAAACATAGAGAAATCTATCCCCAGATGATTCATTTCACCTAGTTGGAACGTCATTCATGATCACCTTAAACAAAACCATGTCATTTACCCTCTGGTAATTTAACATAGCTATGGAAAATCATCATTTTTAATGGGAAAATCCACTATAAATGGCCATTTTCAATAGCTATGTCAGCTATTACCAGAGGGTATGATTATGAGCCCTTCGAGGTGACAAAACTTCATCCCTTCGACAAACTGAACGACAAACTTCGACACATCCTTAGGGCATAGGAGGTCACAGTCTGCGGGCTTAGCTTGACACACAAGATAATCTACATGCTCATGCACATTCTCATGCATATGATGCCTATAAAAACCTATGCTAGTTGGTGGTTTTAACCATCTTGAAAAATATTAGTCAATGGGAAGGATTATCCCATATATTATGGAAAATGAAAACTGTTTGAAACCACCAACCAGTATGTATATAGAGTGTTTGCATGTGCAAATACTATATTACTGTACACATATTACCTGTACGTATTCATACATAACATATCAATCCCACCAGCCATGGAAAGATGTGAATTTCCCCAAAGAAATTCTCTGGCTGCTGGGAGCTCCCAATTCTGTATATGTATATATACATTATACATTACTGTGTGTATATATATATATATATTAAACTAGAGTAGATAGACTATGGATTTTTCAAAAACAACTCACTCTTAAAGGAGGATATTCTTGAATATCCCATAATTTTATCTACTTCAGGACGAGTATAATATATACAGTACAATTGTGTGTTCATGTGTGTCTGTGTCTTTATATAGTGGATTTGTATGACAATATCTTTGCATGAAAAAATCCTTCTTTTTGTACTGTATCCTTATCTGTGCTGCGCTAAAAAACAGTACACGGTCGGTCTGTCTGAAAATGTGGTGGAGAAAATCATCAGTATCAATGGGATGTTGGATACCCTCTGGGAATCAAAGATGACAATAGAAAATCCACCCACCATCAGAAACCCTCTGGTAAACGTTTACATAACCATGGAAAATCACCATGTAAAAAATGGGTAAAACCACAACGTAAATCACCATTTTCAAGTTCGCAGACTGTAACAAATTGCCAGAGGGTAGATGATTTTCCCAGCGATCAACCGCCATGAAACAATGGATTGCCCCGCTTTGTTTCCCCCCATGATTTCCCCGCAACGCGGTTTTAGCCCGGGCCACGCGCTGCTAAAGTTGCTTGGAGGCAAGATCTTCCTAGTCGGAGTGCCAGTCACTGGCTTCATAGATTTCCATCAAATGCCGAATGTGTCAATGGTTGTATTGCGAGAATGTCGGGAGAATATCGGGAGAATATTGGATACAAATGGGATGATAATATCTATGATAATGATAAGGGGATAATAATGTGATTTTAATGAATATACCATCTGGTTATGACTAACATAGCCATGGAAAATCACCATTTTTAATAGGTAAACCATCTATTTCTATGGACCATCTATACAAATGGCTATGTTAAATAACCAGAGGGCATCATATTCTCTTAATGTCATCAGCTTCGTGGGAAATCCCTTTCTGAAAAAAAAACGGTGAAATCATGAGAAAATTCGATCGAATTCCCCATAAATCCCCTTAATTTTTGTAGATGAAAAAATATCGACATCAATTCTTTTCTATAGTATCATATCATCCATTCGAATTATCATTATCATCCCATTCCCCAATACTTGATAATGACATTAAGAGAATATGATATATTCCATATGATCCAATATTTTTCATGTTTTTGTGGCATTGGATGGCATTGGACTTTTTTGAAAAACCCTGGGTTGAAAATTTCGGGATATGAATAATGGATATCATGTGATATCGAACATAGATATTTAGAACCAGCCTGTTGCGGGTTTATGGACTACCCCTTTGATCGAAAGCAATTGAAGGATGGATCAAGACCTATGAAGCATGCTTCGGAAACATATGCATAATGTAGGATTCACCTGTCACAACTACCCAGCCATTTTGGGGATGGTTGATGTTTCCCAGCCATAAACATCCCATGATGAATTGGGGCTGGTTCATTATTGGGTCTACAACAAGCTTTCCATGAATGTCAGAAGGTTATGAGACCTTCAGGACTCCACATCTTTTTGGGGGGGTACCCGGCCTGGTTTTTACGTACAAAAAACTATATTAGGAAAGATCCACCATGCTATTCATGGGAAAACTCACGAAATATCAATGGCCATGTTCCAGTTCGCTTTTTGTATGTTTACCAGGCCGGGTAGTTCGCATATGTTCTATTATGAACCCCCTTAACCACCGTGAGTTGGGAGATAAGGTATGTAACTATGGCGACACTAGTACTCCCTTAGTAGCTTTCCACTGGTTCATCATCATATTTACTACGAATAAAGCCATTTCTATGGCTAGATTTTAATATATTTTAATAATTAGCTAACCTGAAATAATGGAAATAGGGCTATATTGGGATAATTCCCCCTATATATACCATCATTCCAGTGAGGTCACGACGTGAGGTCGCTGTAATTTACCCAGAATTCTGTATAATTTATATCTACAACCTGCTGTGAGTTTTTAACACCCCCAAAAAAACGGCTGTAATTGTAAATTGTAAATTCTAACCCACCACATGAAAAGGTCGTGACAAAACATGTTATAACTGAGGATAACCACTGTCACTCTTCATCCACCGTCAGCGTCACCGAATGTTCCGCGTTGCGCCATGGCACTGCGTGAACTTCTTTGGGGAAATCTCATAGATGACACAGGCCGAGCCTGGGGGTATACCTGGACTCGAATGAGACTCGAATGGGGGATCAAAAATGGTGGTGAAATGGTGGTGAAATGATGGTTGAATGAGTCTCAATCGAAACATGTGGGGATATGATGGTGAAAACTTCCAGGATCAAAAATTCAGTCTAAACGTGTTTTTTGTGTGACTGTGTTTTTACGCGGGGTAAAATAATTGTGCCACTTATGAATGGGATAACCACATAGAAACAGGGCACAGAAACCAACCCGGGCCTTCTTCACCACTTACTAAGTGGGATGGTCCTCCAAGTATGACAATAATCGTTGATGTGATATGAAGACTGAACTGGGTAATATGAATGGAAAGGTTTATACCACCTATTTATGGTAATTTGGGGAATTGTTTATTACAGTTTTACCCACATTATATCATAGAATAACAAATATATAATATAGTATAGTATAGTATAATATAATATAATATAATATAGTATGATATAATGTGTTATAACAAAATATATAATACAATATAATATAATTTAATATAATATAACATAATATAACGTAATATAATAAGATATAATATAATAAAATATAATATAATAACATATATGACATTTTTGGCCTCTGACAATTCAAACGTGGCTGGAAAATCCCCGAACGGTACCTGCGGCTTTACGCCACTTTAAATGAATATATATTTTATAAAATTATATTATAAGATATTTTATTTTATCATATTTTATTATATTATATTATGTTTTTATATTTTTATATTAAATAGTATATTGTATCATATTATATTTAAAAATATTGTATCATATTATATTATATTATATTATCATATCATATTATATTATATCAAATTATATTATATTGAATTGTAACATATTATATTATATTAAAACATATTATATTAAATTATAACATATTATATTACATTAAATCATATTATATCATATTAAATCATTTTATATATGTTATATATTGTATATATATAATATTATATTATATTTTATTTTATTATATTATATTATACTATATTATATTATATTGTATTAAATGATAATATATTATATTCTATTATAATATATTATATTATACTATGTTATATTATATATTCTAATATAACATAAGAAAATAAAATAATATAATATAGTATAATATATTATAATATCAGAATTTAATATAATAGAATATAATGTAATTTGATATATTATAATAAAAATATTATATTATATTATATTATATATCATATTAAATCAAATTATATTATATCATATTACTATATATATATATATATTATATTTAATATATATTATATTATATTATATCATATTTTATCATTTTCTATTTATATATATAATATATATGTTATATATATATATTAACTATTTAATTATATTATATCACATTATATTATATTCTATTATATTAAATTATATTAAATTTAAATATATTATATTATAATATATTGTATTATGTTATATTATATTATACTATATTACATTAAATTATATTACATTAAATTATATTACATTAAATTATATTATATTATATTATATATCATATCATATCAAATCAAATCGTATCATATTACATCATATTATATTATATTATATTATATTTTATTATATTATACTATAATTTATATATACATATGTGATGTTCCAGCTAGCCACGTTGAAAATTGTGCCACCTTTGACAATTGAAAATGTCATTGGCAGAGCGAAGTGGCGAAGTGGTGCCGGAGCGGTCTTTTTTTAAACGAACTCATGGATGGTAAAGCCAAAGCTTACTGGTGCTTATCAGGGAATTTTCGGGAATGATCCATAATCACTAGTAATAATCATCCCATTCCCCCATTCCCATCCATTCCCTACGTTTAGCACCAGTAAGAAAGTCATAAACCGCCCCAGTCATCACCATTTTTATGGGTGGACCATCCGACATATCCGACCATCCCTAAACAGCATTTTGACTGGAAATCCGACCATCCCCCGTGCTAGGTGTTGGCATTAAATATATCTCTCACCACAACGACTGGACGCTGGAAATTTCATCATCCCACGCTTCGGTGGGTGAAAAGTGACGAAAAAAAGGCTCGAGCCACTAACTCCAGAAACACATTTGAAACACTCATCCCTTCCCCCGTTCTTTTTTTTTTTGGCCTTCTATATATAGACCACGCCGGTTTAACCTGAATAAAAGGGGATGAGTCGAGTTTCTCATGAAACCACTGAAATAAATAAGGACCATCGAATGGTGTCACATGGGATTATCGGATTTTGAATGGGAAATCAGCACTGAATTCCACCTCCAGCATCGATGCATAGACCCACCAGGAATCCGGGAAGCCAGCGATTGAGGCTGAAGGAAAAGACTTCCACCTCCGGAGTTCAGATGTTGTACCCTCTGGTAATAGCTGACATAGCTATTGAAAATGGCCATTTATAGTGGATTTACCCACTGAAAATGGTGATTTTCCATAGCTATGTTAGTGTACCAGAGGGTATTTCCTATATTTTCCTCTTGGATTTGCTGGAAAGCCTCAAAAAAAATTACAGCAGAATAGTCGACTTGATTTCCTGGTGGACTTCCAGGGAAATAGAAAAAGCCACGCCGAGAGCAGAGCCCATGATTCAGCAAGTGATACCCGGCAACTTGGAAGACTTCCAGTTCTAAGTGGATAACTTGATAACCAGAGTTATAGGATGTTATAGCACCCCCCATATCCATCCATATCCCATGTGAAACTTGAAACTCTCCTGGTACCATGTTATACCTACAAAGGTCACCTGGTCACTGCATCTGCAAGTAGTTGGACCACGGCTCATAATTCGTCGTGGTAAAATATGCATTTTATCATTTTAGAGATTATGATGGGGTGGGGTGGGGGCTAATAGCGTCCTGTTGATCCGCATAGACGTGTAATGAATTGTAATGACGTGTATTCTCTCGGATGCGTGGCTACGTCATGGGGTCGGGTCGGGTGGGGGGGCTAATAACGTCCTGTGTTTGCATTCGCACAGACGCGTCTTCTTACGGAATCAAAGATACGTCACGCTACGGATGCTACGTTGGTTGCACATCTGCACGCTACGGATGCTACGTTGATAACATGTCTGCACACCACGGTTGCTACGTTGGTTGCACGTCTGCACGCCACGGCTTGGCGAAAAAACTTGAGAAACTTGAATGCAAAGACTTTCTTGCGGCATCTCACAAATTTTGGTGAAGATCCGACTAGTTGACTAGTTTACTCGCATTTTGCAGAAGAGAAAAAAAGGCATTGTTGCAAACATTGAACTCAAACGACAAGTAGAAACCCATGTAATTGCGATGATTTGAGTGCGACAGAAGCTTCACCGAAATGTCATTTTGATTCGCGGCGAAATATGAGCCGTGAACCAAGTAGTTAGGAACCAAAGGAGAGGGGAAGTAATTCATCCTGGCCTTTTTCTTCACATCAGCGCCATTTTTGGTGAGGAATCATGATTTGGTGATGAAAATTTCGCGGGGTTCACACCCCAAATTTCATGGTCAAATCCATTTTCCCTGTGAATTTTCATGGAAAAAACGAGGTATGCCACAAGAACCCCATTTTCAGCTATGGCTCTGTGAGTATGAGAACGTGTTTCAGCAAACATGTGATCTTCACCAGGAGTGATGGTTAGACATGAGGGTTCACCAGCATGGATGTTTGGTTGGGCTGGCTTGGATTTTGCAAATCCATCCATCCACCATCTTTTTTTGGAGGAATTGTGTTCAGTATCCGTTGGCATCGTGGCATCAACACAGCTTATCAGCATGGAAACCGCCCCATGTTTGGACACCCACCTTCGCTTCAGCCGCAATGAAACCCTTTGGAATTGCTCGGCCTAGCAGCTTAGCATGAGCAAAGGGTGGAACCAGTGGACCCTTTGTTCGTCCCAGCGGATTTAGAATGGGATTCCTTAAAAGGCTGGTATGTTAACCCCTAAAAAAATGATGGATGACCATCCCCTAATATGGGTTTTTGAACCCTGTTCATATATATATATATATAGTAACCCCCAACTACAATAATATATATACATATTAAATATGAGGAGTCAAAATGTATTTTTCTGGTTTCGTTGTTCAATCGCAATTCCATGCGGGCTGCTTTTTGTTTGGTTTTCAAAACTATGACTTATCTAAGCAGTCTGTACATTGTCTCTTTCATGTTTGAAACCACATCCAAAACCTCCAGGAAATGCCTTCTAGCGCACATCTATTTGGAGCTGGTGCCGCTGCTAGTCGTAGAACTGGAGGAAGTGTCCACCATCTGTTCTTTCTTTCTTTCTTTCTTTCTTTCTTTCTTTTTTTCGTTCGTTCGTTTGTTGGTTCTTTCTTTCTTTCTTTCGTTCGTTCGTTCGTTTGTTCTTTCTTTCTTTCTTTCGTTCGTTCGTTCGTTTGTTGGTTCTTTCTTTCTTTCTTTCGTTCGTTCGTTTGTTCTTTCTTTCTTTCTTTCTTTCGTTCGTTCGTTTGTTCGTTCTTTATTCCTTTCTTTCGTTGGTTCGTTCGTTCGTTTGTTCGTTCTTTCTTTCTTTCGTTCGTTCGTTGGTTCGTTCTTTCTTTCTTTCTTTCTTTTCTTTCTCTCTTTCTTTCTTTCTGTCTTTCGGTCTTTCTGTCTTTCTGTCTTTCTGTCTTTCTTTCTTTCTTCTTCTTTCTTCTTCTTCTTGTTGTTTTTTGTTGCAGAGCTTGTCGTTGCCTTTGGCCTTGCCAAAAAGATTAACCACTGAAGTTCTCTGACGGCGACTAGGTCACAGGTCAGCCAAAGCTGTAAAATTACGTACAGACTTGGAAAATTGAACAACAACCTCAAAATCCTGGATAGTGAAAATGGTGGAGTAGCACAAAAAATCAGTAGGAGATGTGCTGCATCTGCATCTCAACTTTTCTTCATGTCCTCTGCTACGTCTCACGTTACAGATGCCCCCACATCCAGTCCCCAAGTTGTACTGTGCAATTACAGCACCAACTATACAAGGTCATGATGATGACTGCATACATAGTGCATCATGTTGCATGATCTTACGATGTTCTTTTCTCCAATGCTAGGAACAACGCATGTTTTGACAAACTTGGACTTGGCTTCAAGGAAGAGAATCTATTCAGAAACGTGTCCTATGAAGAATACATGTTGAAATACCAAGCATGCAGGAACACATAAAATCAATCTTTGAACAAAGATATGAAAACAATCTAGCGCAAACCTAGCGGGTTTGCCTATAATGGGGATTATTATAATGAGATGTAGCGTCAGTGAAATCAATATGATACCCTCATTGACATATACAATGCCCGAAAGTAGTTAAATGTCCATGTCCATGTCCATCCTTGTTGGTGTTTACTCCATGGTTCAGCCCCACTATCCTCAACCCAATGCCATTTGGGCAACTAGCACTTGGGACCTTGGGACCTTGATTCGGGATCCTCATATCTTTACATACCGATTCCGTGTTGGGTTTTTTTTGACCCAGATCAAAAATGTTAGATACTCTAACCCAAAGGGACCCATGCAACCAAAAAAAAATAGAAGTTGGCAAATTCCAATCTTACAATAGTGATACAATAGAGTTTGTTTCAACAATTTTTGGGGGTTTACACAAAAAAAAACATCATACCCCTACTGTGGATGGACAAACCATCCTACATCAGTTGGGAACGAATGGTAACATAATGAAACGTTGTAAATCGGATGATTTTTTTGTTCGGATATGTTTACCATCTAAATCATTCTCTGGTGTCGCAACTCTTGGTTCCCCACTGTCGCTTGGAGCCATGCGCGCGCTCATAGGCCTGGTCACCAGAAAATTATTTCATGGGGAAATGGGGAACGAAGTATAGGCCTTTTTATGTGGAAACCAACCATACTGAAGTAATTATGGAGTTTTTTTTTGTGAAACCAACCAATTCATGGTGATTTATGGTGGAAACCACTTAATTATGGGAGATTTCATGAATGGGTTTTCGACAACAAAATGTCCAATTCGTGATTATTTTAGATCAATTTCATCATCTGCGCTTTTCATTGGATTGGTGTTGGGAAAATCCGCAGAAAAACCCTAGCTGTTAAACAAATTTGATTGGGGTTTCCTCTAAATTTGCCCTGGAACCAATTCCTGGACGCTTTTGTTTGAACAAATGCAGATTCTTTTGAGGATATATTGGCATATATGTTTTTGGGGCAGGATCAAAACACATTGTACCAAGGTTGGGCCTGTGAACATCCATTTAGCAGTTGCTTTGGTCTGAACTGAAGGGCTTCAGAGGTTTGACCCAGAAACATATCCATGTAACAACCGGGTATAGTGCATAATTTTCATTCATCATGAGAAAAAGTATCCCGGCCAAAGAAATATCCCGGCAAGAGACCCCAAACAAAGCGGGGGGAGACAAAGGATAATGCATTATAATGTTGATGATGATGTCAATGTTGGTGATAATGTCGATGAGGATGGCGATGTTGATGATGACGATGATGATGGCGATGAAAAAATGATGGCGATGAATGGATGAATGAATGAATGAATGGATGGATGGATGAATGAATGAATGGGTGAATGAATGAATGGGTGAATGAATGAATGGGTGAATGAATGAATGAATGAATGAATGAATGAATGAATGAATGAATGAATGAATGAGTGAGAAAATGAATGAATGAATAAACGAATGAATGAAAGAACGAATGAATGAACGAACGAATGAATGAATGAATAAATGAATGAATGAATGAGTGAACGAATGAATGAATGAGTGAATGAATGAATCAAAGAAAGAAAGAAATAAAGAAAGAAAGAAAGAAAGAATGAAAGAATGAATGAACGAACGAACAAACGAATGAGTTTGAGGTTGAGGTTGAGGTTGAGGTTGACATTGAGGATGAGGATGACGATGATGATGATGATGATGATGATCATGATCATGATCAAGATGATGATGATGATGATGATGATGATCATAATGATGATGATGATGTTGAGGAGGAAGACCGATCCCAAGACCGGGAAGCACACTTCGCGCGAGCCGGCAAAGTCGAAATACACATGAACATTGCACAAGAGCCATTTTGCACGGTAATTTACAGGGAAAATGCCGGCCGCTAATCCCAAGTTTGTGCGAGCCTGCGCAGTCGAAATGCACACGGACATTTCACCAGAGCCATTTTGTATGGAAATTTAGAGGAAAAATGGCCGCGGACACCTCCGGGGACATCGTTTTGTGCGAGCCTGCGCAGTCGAAATGCACATGGACATTTCACAAGAGCCGTTTTGTGCGGAAATTTACAAGGAAAATGCCGGACGCGCCGGCTACCACCTCGATTAAACACCGGGCCTTAACTGTTACCGTAAGAACCCCTCAGTGTGGCCACACTGTTTGGGGAATAATAGTACCTGTCTATCAACCTGACCCACATATTTTGTGGCTATTGCAATTGTAGTTGATTAGGGCGTTGTCCAACCCAGTCATTATTGTTGGTTTGTAACCCCCATTATATAACTAGTTCATTATATAATTATATATATTGTATATCATATTCTATCCACCATTTTTCCTGGCGAACCAAGACATAGAGTCCTGGGGTAATGTATGTTTTTCATGGATCATGGTGCCCAAATAGCTGGAAATAAGAAAGAAGAAATGGTCAGAAGAATAAAAGCGCGGAATGAAATTCACGTCACTACCCTCTAGTACTCAAACGTGGCTAGCTGGAAAATCCCCGAACTAAATGGAGGTTTGGTTCGCTGGGAAATATCATCAATGGGGATTTTCTAGCACACTATGTTTGATTGAAGAGTAGGTAGGTAGTGGACAAACGACGAAATAATCCGCCTGTGGTCTTCGCGGTTCAAACTGACAACAGACCTACTCTCATCTGGTTTGGATTTTTTTTTGATGGCTCCAAGGAGCTCCCACAATAAAAAAGGGAATAACGGAATATGCTTCCCCCTAGCTCCTTAGCTCCCTCCTAAACTACCGAATAGCCTCTGTCTATCTACTAGATGATAATCCTTTTTTAAGCCAATGAAACATGCACCCATCAGAAGAAAGCTTGGAAATTGCAAGAGCCAGCTCAAATTGCCTGGAAACTCATTCTAACCACCTTTTCTCCGCTGATGAACTTCAACAAACATCATTGCATTTGACATTTAAGTACATACCACCAGAACAACCAGCCCCAGACCCTGCCTGCTTGCACGGCTTGAAGCAGCTGGCTGTTGTCCAAAGGCTGGCTGGTGGCATGCCTGACTCTCCGGACCTTTGCCAAATGCTTCTGGCCCTGTTGCTGGACAAGGTTGTCTCCCACAGGCACTTGAAGCTGGTTGTTGTCCAAAGGCTGGCTGGTGGCATGCCTGACTCTCCGGACCTTTGCCAAATGCTTCGGGCCCTGTTGCTGGACAAGGCTGTCTCCCAAAGGCACTTGAAGCTGGTTGTTGTCCAAAGGCTGGCTGGTGGCATGCCTGACTCTCCGGACCTCTGCCAAATGCTTTGGGCCCTGTTGCTGGACAAGGTTGTCTCCCACAGGCACTTGAAGCTGGTTGTTGTCCAAAGGCTGGCTGGTGGCATGCCTGACTCTCCGGACCTCTGCCAAATGCTTCGGGCCCTGTTGCTGGACAAGGTTGTCTCCCAAAGGCACTCGAAGCTGGCTGTTGCCCAAATGCCGGCTGGTGGCATGCCTGACCTTCTTGTCTCCCCAAGGCACTTGAAGCTGGTTGTTGTCCAAAGCCTGGCTGGTGGGACGCCTGGTATGTTTCGCGCCCTCTTGAAGGGCTTGCCTGTCTGCCAAAGGCACTTGAAGCAGCTGGCTGCTGCCCAAATGCTGGCTGGTGGCATGCCTGACCTTCTTGTCTCCCCAAGGCAGTTGAAGCTGGTTGTTGTCCAAAGGCTGGCTGGTGGGACGCCTGGTATGTTTCGCGCCCTCTTGAAGGGCTTGCCTGTCTGCCAAAGGCACTTGAACCACCTGGCTGTTGCCCAAAGGCTGGCTGGTGGCATGCCTGACCTTCTTGTCTCCCCAAGGCAGTTGAAGCTGGTTGTTGTCCAAAGGCTGGCTGGTGGGACGCCTCGTATGTTTCGCGCCCTCTTGAAGGGCTTCCCTGTCTGCCAAAGGCACTTGAAGCAGCTGGCTGTTGCCCAAATGCTGGCTGGTGGCATGCCTGACCTTCTTGTCTCCCCAAGGCAGTTGAAGCTGGTTGTTGTCCAAAGGCTGGCTGGTGGCATGCCTGACTCTCCGGACCTCTGCCAAATGCTTCGGGCCCTCTTGAAGGGCTTGCCTGTCTGCCAAAGGCACTTGAACCACCTGGCTGTTGCCCAAAGGCTGGCTGGTGGCATGCCTGACCTTCTTGTCTCCCCAAGGCAGTTGAAGCTGGTTGTTGTCCAAAGGCTGGCTGGTGGGACGCCTCGTATGTTTCGCGCCCTCTTGAAGGGCTTCCCTGTCTGCCAAAGGCACTTGAAGCAGCTGGCTGTTGCCCAAATGCTGGCTGGTGGCATGCCTGACCTTCTTGTCTCCCCAAGGCAGTTGAAGCTGGTTGTTGTCCAAAGGCTGGCTGGTGGGACGCCTCGTATGTTTCGCGCCCTCTTACAGGGCTTGCCTGTCTGCCAAAGGCACTTGAAGCAGCTGGCTGCTGCCCAAATGCTGGCTGGTGGCATGCCTGACCTTCTTGTCTCCCCAAGGCAGTTGAAGCTGGTTGTTGTCCAAAGGCTGGCTGGTGGGACGCCTCGTATGTTTCGCGCCCTCTTGAAGGGCTTGCCTGTCTGCCAAAGGCACTTGAAGCAGCTGCCTGTTGCCCAAATGCTGGCTGGTGGCATGCCTGGCTATCCTGACCCCTGCCATAATATGCTTCTGGGCTAGTATGCATGCCCGTCTGTTCCTGGTGGGCCGGCATTTGGTCCAATTCATCTTGAAAGCTCACTCGTTCACGCGGCTCTTGGCCAAAGGAACCAAAGGAAATAGTGCCAGCTTCAAATAGATCTGTTTGGACCTCCTCGGTTTGCCAGGGACGAACGACCGAGCAGACATATCTCATCTTCCGTGTCAAACCAATCATTTTGGAAGGGCGATAACGAACTCGGCCATTTTGTTGGTCATATTCCAATTCGCTTGGACATATCCAGACTTTTGTTTCCCCCCATGTTTGCTGGTGAAAGTCCCTATTGTTTGTGGTCAAGATCCAACATTTGACGGTTAAGGAATTTGCCACCAAAAATCCATCCCTGCTTCTGGATTTCTATCGGCTATTTGGCTATGTAGGAAATTATCCGCAGCTGGCAAAAATCAGAAAAGTTACTGCTTCAACCGTGAACAAAAAACTGCTGTTTTGAGCAACACATGAGCTGCGTTCAATTTTCATCAGTTTCATCATAATGGTTGGTTGATAGGGATTACTGGATGATGACAAGCCGAAATATATTGAATATTGTCAGTATAAGTCGAGAAAATCCCATACAATCAACCGCCAGGAATTTTGAACACTGCTCACCACTTAGTGAATTATAACATTATAACCACTGTTATAATTAAGCCAGGTAAGTAGGGTTTGTCCACTTACAACTGGGGTGATGTTACCACTAAATGGAGTGAAGCACCAACAAAGTGGCGCCCCATAGCTAAGTTGGTGAACACAACTCCAAAAACTGTTGAATTTATGGTAGATATATGGAACAAAAAAAACATGAAAATCTACCATAAACCCAAGAAATTTACGGTTTATTAATCCATGTGGGTCATGAAAATCTCTTGGCTTCATGGGGTGAATCTAAACCAAACATCACGTTTTGGCCCATCACCTCCAAGCGATGCGTCAAAAAGCTAGTTCACAAGGCACGTGCCGAGTCGTTGCCTACTGGTGGCCGGGCCCGGCCACAGTTTATATGATATTATATTATATTACAATATAATATATGGGGGTGGTGGTACCCCATAGTTATGATAGTTTATAATGGAAAATCCTATTTAAATGGATGATTTGGGGGTACCCCCATTTATGGAAACCCCCATGTTGTATTAATTATAACCTCCATCATTGGGAATCGAAGAGATCGCTAAGTCTTAAAATCGCCCTTTTCTCCCTTTTGTCCCTTTTCTCCTGTCTTTCTTTGCTTTCCTTCATGGAATTCATGGACCTTGTCGCTTCCATTAGCTGCTCCCACTCCGCATCCGCCGTGGCTTCCGGCCTTACCGATCTTACCGATCGGGGAGAAAAAGTATGGAAAAGTCGCATGGCATTTTTGCCGGGGATAGATGCAACCAACAATATGTGCCGAAAATAGGTTTTACCCATCTTCAACCGTCTTTAAACATGAACAACGGTGATAGACATAATACTGTACTTGGATTTTGTGGGATGTGATATGGGATATATATATATATATATATTTGAAATATCACCAGCAATATGATACTTGGGCGGTTTTTTATGGGGTACACCCCAAAAACCATGAAAGATTTCCAATGGGAATTTATGATGATCAACCAATAGATTTTGGGGTGCCCATGTCATAGATGCATCCCTTCGTATATGTATACAGAAGAGTATTGAGATGTATCCGTGTGTATGCATATGTATGTATTATATATACTGTATATATATATACCTGTCTGTATCCTGTAAAATGCATCTGTGTATAGACATGTATTCATACAAGTACAGTACATGCACGCACGTAGGGTTTCCCAAAAAGACAGACATGTTATTGTCTACTATTCAAGCTATGTGTTACTATTCTCTCTTTGGGGGCTCCAAAAAAAATGGTATCTGCCTCGTCTTTCGAACTTGTGTCAAGATGTTCTTTTAAATCAATGACCGACAACTCGTGTGTATATGTATTATATATATACATATATCTAATTACATATGACACATTATGACACATTATACTATATATACATCCATAAAATATATATATATATATATTCATATGTAGAGGTATAATCTATCATGACCCTTGAGTTTTGAATTTGAATTAAGGTTTCCTTTCAGAGGTACGTCCAGAGGCTGTGAATTTCAGGGGGTTGCCCTGCACCACGTAACAAGTGGCGGGATATCTATGACATTATGACCAATGATGAATTTCAAGACGGATGAAGAATACCATAGAATACCTACAAAACCAGCGTTAGACTTGGACCCACGAAATCATATTGGATTATTACGATTGCCCTTTTTTTCCCGCGAAACATCAAGAATTTTTGGCATCCACCATGACCTGTCAGGTCAGAACCATTGGCCAATTGCCATTGCATCGCTAGCCGGCCTGGTAAACTAACAGTTTGCTATAGAAAATCACCATGTATAATAGGTCAATCAGCTATAAATGATCATGTGAAAAATAGCTACGTTCAATTGCCAGAGGCTAAATTTTCGTGTGTTCCTATCCTTTTCAGACTCATGGCAAACTTTGTCCAAGCAACGCAGACCTGGACTTGTCCGTTGGCCGCGCAGACATCGGTTCAGTCTCTTGATCAAGGGCATCCAGGAGATCCTCCTTCCTTGGATTTCGAATGTGGACGACTCTATCTGGTTGATGGTATACCTACCCATCTGAAAAATATGAGTCAGTGGGAAGGATTATCCGATTATCCCATATATGAAATGGAAAATAAAAAATGTTCCAAACCACCAACCAGCTATCCATTCAGTGGAACACCAAAGCAGTCTTGACTTCTGGACTACTGAAGTGTGATAATCCCCTATCGATTAGATTTGGTTAGTATAACTGGTTTAGGGTTGACCTACCCCTCTGAAAAATATGAAAGTCAGTTGGGATTATGACATTCCCAACTGAACGGAAAAATAAAATTCATGTTCCAAACCTCCAACCAGATATAATTCATCATCAACCAAAGTGTTGAACACTGTGAAAACACTGCTCACCTCGATGAACCCCAACTTCTTCAGATGTCATCGCATTTTGTGCCTCCAAGTCTCTTAAAACCCACCGTTTTGCCAAAGGAAAGAAGCGATTCCTCCAGCGTATCCTGCGGTAATCTAACAGCTTGCTATTGAAAAAATGGCCATAGAAAGTTCGTTGATTTGCCCATTAAAAATGGTGGATCTTTCCAGTTCGTTTTTTGTATGTCTGTTAAAAAGATGTTGAAATAAAACAAGTCGTTCAATAACTGGAATCTCAATCTCCCATATTTTCCGATGCAAAACTGCGCTTTGTCTCACATCATGGTCCAAAACCCCTCCAAGTGACTGCACGAACCATCTTGGCCCGCATCCGAGCATGTCCTCGTCTCTGGCTGGGTGAGTTGTATCATGAGAAGCTGCTATATAAATCAATGTATAACAATCCCATCCCCCCATTCTATATGTATACATATGTGTGTGTGTGTGTACATGTATGTGTATACATATAATCTGTTTATATATATATATATATGTAATCTATACATGTTTATACATATAAATATATATATATATAATTATATATATATATACATATTTACGTATATATTACCACCGCTGGATGACCCCAATTCATGAAGAAATCCAATACATTCAACCTGGATTTTGATTGTGCTTTTTTTTTGGAGCAGGGAGTTTCGGGAATCTCTACTTTCGTTTTTGGCCATTCAGAAGGGATTTTAAAATTTTTGAGGCTTCAAAATTGTGATTAACTGGGGTATCTTTCGATGATCCTGCCAAATGTTCAGGAAAAGTTCTTGGAAAACGGAATTTGGATGCTGAGAAAGCCTGCTGCCCAAAGTTGAGACCCAGTTTAGCCCCGGAATTCAAATTCATTTTTTTCATGCCATAAGTTCTCATTTCCGGATAGTTGTGGCCTGGATTTGTTTGACACAAAATCGAAAATACTTCATCATCTCCACCGGAAAATCTCCAAATTTCAAAGTGAACATCATATTAAAATGAAGCGTTTTTATGGTACTTACCCTCTGGTAAACTAACAGTTTGCTATTGAACATGGCCATAGAAATAGTGGATTTACCCATTAAAAATGGTGATTTTCCCATCAGTTACGTAAACGTTTACCAGAGGGTATGGTTCAATGAATACCCAAAAATTCTTGCCTTTTTGGGTGATTGCCCAATGTTGAGTCTGAGGATTTTTTCCAAGCAAAAAACGAAAACACCGGCATCAAACACATCTACTGTACACTGTATATTGTCAATATATATATATATATATATGTTATATATATATAAGTTATATTATTTATATATATATGATATATATATATATGATATATATATATATCATATATTATCCCCTTTATGCGTGAGATAAACTGGCACATGGATTTTTCGCTCCTTCGTTGATGGTCACTGGAAGCTTGGACTCTGTGGCGACCTTCTGCACCTGGATCTGGTACCCGGCCCGGTAAACAATAATAATCATTAACATATTGACTGGTGGTGTTAATGGTTGGTATTAACTAATAGTTAATGGTGTGAAACATGTTGATTAACATATACCAATATTAACACCAATCATATTGATCTGGGTAAATTATAATAATTCACTAACCTGAATTAAGGCCATTTGGGGATGATTTCCCTTACTAACCATGATTCCAGTGAGGTCGCAGTGAGGTCGTTATAAATTACCCAGAACTATGGAAAATCACCTTTTTGAGTGGGTAAATCAACTATTTCTATGGCCACTTTGAATAGCAAACTGTTAGTCATTACCAGAGGGTATTTTTTTGTTTCTCACATCTTCAGGGTGTTCCAAGATATGAAACGATGTACTTATTCAGAAATCTTACAGACATTAATCAAGTCATGAAAAATGACTACGGAGTTTATTTTTTACTTTGAAGCTTTCCGTTTTGTCGTTTGTGGGGTACTCCGAAGACGCATCCTCCAGTCATAATTTGGATGCCACGGAGATTTTTGTTGAAACAATGATGATTTGGAGCTTCCCCCCTCCCAGAGATCCCAGGGATGTGGAACTCACAAGAGTTGCCATAGTTACCATAGTTACCCTCTGGTAAACTAACATAACTATGGAAAGATCCACCATTTTTCATGGGAAAACTCACTATAAATTGCCATTTTCAATAGCTAGGTTAAATTACCAGAGGGTACCATAGTTTCGTTTGGGGCTGTTCAATGTGAACTGGATGGTGAACGATAGGACGGGACGGGATGAAATCTCCCATTTTTTGTCCATTTTTATCTCCATTGAATCCCATGAAGTCGAGGCTTAGGGGATCGTGACGCCGACATTTTTCAGGGCAACCGATAGGGCAACAGCATGGGAAGAATCCGCTTCTGAATGCTGGGATATAACATGAATATAGCATGATTTTTGATGCGGATAAAAACCATAATTAATAGATACCATCCCCAATGAATCACCATAAATAGATGGTATACATAGATCTGATGCGCGAAAAATTGCCCATTGACCTTAAGATTTTTTTTTTCTGATTTGAATGAAAAGAAGGGATTTTCATGGTCAAAAACATCTGAGAGGTGAAACAAGCCAGCTATCCCCCAATGGGTGGTTTCCCGAAAGTGATCTACAGTTCTTGGCAAAAGCCCAAAAAATCTTCGGGGTCAGGGTCATTTTCTGCAATTTTCAGGGATATCCCATTCTTGAACAAACCAAGATCTATGTTAACTTTCCTGCAGGATGGTGCCCCCCAGTTATAAGTTGGTTTATAAACCCCATTAACTATAGTTATATCTGCCATAAACCATAGTTATGGGAGTTATAAACCAACTTAGCTAACTATGGGGCACCACCTTGTGAAGCTATGTCCCAAAAGTAATTTAGAATTAAAACTGACACTCGCACGCCCAGTAATTGGGCTGAGTAATGTGGCCAACCCAAATTTGCGTAATGCACCACCACGATTTACCCTATGACTTACTAGTGATTGGGGCATGCAAAAAGCAATACCAGCAAAAAATCTTGTAAGGCTTGTCAGGTTTGCCATAGAAAACATGACTTTTTTTGATTGGATAATTATTGACTTTCACGGCTGTAAAAATTGTAGCGAAAAATCATCATTCTTGTTGGTAAAATCCCCAGGATTCTCATAGGTTGTCTCTATTGGAATCCCAAATCTGTGAAAATCCCTGAATTATTCTCAAATCCCAATTCTTCCCCAATTCGGACATACGACATTCGAAAAATTCTACCATTGAAAATCCCGAAAACTTCGATGATTTTAGCGAAGTAAACCTCCATTGCTGGGATTTTCCCACGTTGACGGAAGATCACCTCAATTGACTCGTTGGGATTGGGATCCTTGGGATCGTTGCCTATGGGACCCACGAACAAAAAAAATCGGACTTACCAGGGTTGATTAAATAACACCACCACGATCCCATTTGGATCCTCCAAACAAACCGATGGGTTGTAAATCCATGGGTTTTCCAGATATGGTGTAAGATGATATTTACATAGAATCGTTGTTTTTGAAATGGGGTCCCTTTTTTTAATACCATTTTCACACAAACCAAAATCAACAAAATTCTGGATTACAATTTCACCATGAAAATCGATGAAATTGTGGGGCCCTGATTCCCCCAAAAAATCACCAATGTCAAGCCTGGATTGATAAACCTCGTTTACGGTTGTTTAATTGGGGGGATACCATTTAAGTATCAGATGAAATGACTATTTGGGGAGTACCCCCCTAATTAATACCCTCTGGTAATTTAACGTAGCTATTGAAAATGGCCATAGAAATAGTGGATTTTCCCATTATATAAAAATGGTGATTTTCCATAGCTATGTTAGTTTACCAGAGGGTAAACCATGGTTTATTAATCCGGGGTTGACATTAAGATTGATCCCAAGATTCATGGCAAGATTGGTATCCCTTATCCTCACCTGCTAGACCTAACGTCACTTAGACCCAGACCATCACAATCTTCAGCACTCCTCCTGGTTCACTAATGCCTGCGACAAAATGGGAGACATGGAAAATATACTGTACATATTTCCTACATTGAACCAAAACAATGACAGTTTTCACGCGAAAACTCATATTTTTAGGGATTTGTACACCAGACTGGTGTTTAATTTGTAGGCCCATTTTTGATGGTTCCCACTCTGGTAGTCCAGGCAAATCCCATTTTTGGTGAAGATGAATGCGTCCGAGCTCTGTAGATAGTTGGATTAAAACAATCAAAGTGTGGAGCTGTTTTATTGTGAAAAAATGGTGGATTTTTTTTTGGGATACACCAGTTCTGCCATGGTTCTTTCGATCCAGGAATTTGCGATCCAGGAAGCCCTTGCTAAAAAAGATTCGGATTTCCCCCCATCATGAGGTCATCAGGTCGAAAGTTCGTGGATTTTCCCATTTTTTACATGGTGGATCTTTTCACTTCGTTTTATGTAAACGTTTACCAGGCCGGGTAACATGAATAATGGTAATATGTAATGATTTCATGGTACCATATTGTATATGTTAATGATATATGATACCAATAACCAAAATGGTAATATCAATAATAATCATTAACATATTGACTGGTGCTGTGAATGGTTGGTATTAACTAATAGTTAATGGTGTGAAACATGTTGATTAACATATACCAATATTAACACCAATCATATGGGTATGGATCAATACCTATTAATACCATTTTTAGTGGGATGAACATCCATTTACCAGCTATTTTGGGGTTCACTAGGTACCAGGGTTTTGACCCATAGTCATATTGATATAATCAAAATCGTCTGGTTGGTGGTATACCTACCCCTTTGAAAAATATTAGCGAAAGTCGTCAGTTGGGATGACTTTCCATTCCCCAACTGAATGGAAAATCATAAAATTCCATGGTTCCAGTCACCACCAACCAGTAGTAATATCAATAATAATATGAATAATATAATATTAATAATGATATAATAACCATATATATAATCATATATATATATATTCTGTGATCAGCACATACAACTTTTTTCTGGCTATATTGAACTACACTAGCCTTGGTAATCCCAGAATAAGAGGTGAACACTCGTTATAGTGGCCCCCTAAATTAGATTATCCCATTTACCCTCTGGTAAACGTACAAAAAACTATGGAAAATCACCAGTTTGATATGTTTGATGGGTAAATCAACGATTTCTATGGCCATGTTCAATCGTTTTTTGTATTACCAGGCCGGGTATTTTCAAAAGTGGTTTAACTAAGCCCACGTTTACACTCACCACTTGCTAAATGGGATGATCCTCCAAGTATCCGCTGGTGAACAGTTGCCATGAAACATGACCCATCCATGTCCGATGGCCATGTTCTCCGTGGCAAAGTCTTAGATTACCAAAGTAATACCCGGCCCGGTAAACATACAAAAAACCATGGAACGATCCACCATGTTTAATGGGAAAATCAACGAACTTTCTATGGCCATGTTCAATAGCTATGTTAGTTTACCAGAGGGTAATGACTTTTTATCACTTTCCATTGTATTACCCTCTGGTAATTTAACAGTTTGCTATTGAAAATGGCCATAGAAATAGTGGATTTTCCCATAAAAAAAATGGTGATTTTCAATAGCTATGTTAAATTACCAGAGGGTATATCCTCAGTACTATCCCGGTACTGTGATATATAAAAATCCCAGTGAAAAAAACCCTTGACAACCTCCCAGGTTCATATTTCCCGTTGCTAAACATGGGGAAAATTATCCTTGGTTTAAAAAGATATGCTTCCCAATAATGACTATGGTAGAAGATATGTGAACCTTAGAATATGCGCCATGTTAGCTAAGAATGGGAATTGTCAATGTAATATATATCCGTTTGATATTATTCCCAAACAATTTCCCCGTGATAAGTCAGTTGATTTGCAATATCCCCTTCATAATTCCCCTTTACATTCCCAAATAATATCCCCTTCATCCATTTCAATAGGATTTTCCCTCAAAAAAAACACCCATTTTGGGGATCCCCCATTTATGGAAACCTCCATACAGGATGGGGCCCCCAAGATAGCTAAGTTGGTTTATAAGTGGCTTAACAATGGTTTATGGTAGATATAACTATAGTTACTGGGTATTATAATGGTTTATAAACCAACTTATAACTGGGGGGCCCCATCCTGTATCCATTTTCGTTGTTTAGTCTTTTCATGACTTTTCACTTGACGCCATGCGCCATTTTTCAGCAGAAATATGAGCCAGGCCTATGGTCATCCGCAGCATGGGTGATCTCATTATAACCTGGAGATCTGGCGCTGGGGGTAACTCTGGCGTGGATATATGATATCTCGCATGTCTGAAAAAATTGTCTATGTTAAATTGAAAAAACATGCGTGCATAAATATATTATATATATATATTATATATATACTGTATATATATATATATATATATCATCATATGTGTATCATACACATATGATCAAAATATTGTATGTATATATATATTATTACCAGATATATTACCATATATCACATATACATACCGCGCGTGCAAGCAGGATCCCTTGATGACGCATGTGAATTAGGTGGGGCCCTACAGCTATGGAGGATATATGGCTGTGTCTGGACATAGGCCATACCCCTACCCTAAGGCTATTATATTTCCTTAGGAATTTTGATGAAAAAACAAGCTATAGACTATGATATAACAGCTATAACAACTAAAAATTATATATATATATATCTCTACTGCCCCTCACCTCATCAGCCCAGGTGCACAGCAGGCTTTTATCAAAGCAGCATTTGTTGAGTGTTCCCAGCGTATTGGGTTGGCATATGTTGATATGACAAAAGTGACGTCACATCATCTGTGCTGAAAATGCCATCCGGCCACAAACGGTTACTTTTTAGCACCGTCTTCCAGGGAAAAGGTTTGAAAGCCCCCCTGGGTGGCCTGAGGGTGGGCCGTTGAATTTCTTGAGGACAAAATGTCGCAGGAAAAGATTGGGGCTTCAACGTTTGCGGTCAAAAGAGGATCACACCAAATTGGTCTATCTCTACTGCCCCTCACCTCATCAGCCCAGGTGCACAGCAGGCTTTTATCAAAGCAGCATTTGTTGAGTGTTCCCAGCGTATTGGGTTGGCATATGTTGATATGACAAAAGTGACGTCACATCATCTGTGCTGAAAATGCCATCCGGCCACAAACGGTTACTTTTTAGCACCGTCTTCCAGGGAAAAGGTTTGAAAGCCCAAAGCCCATAGTGTGGATCTAAGCATTCTTATGCAAATGAAGGCGAAAGAATTCGATGCAGTCAGTCCTATTCTTCTTTGCTTTCTTCCATATATTTTGTGGGACAAGCTGGTGGAGAAGCAACATACGTCCTGGCTTGTTGTACCTGAGCACAGAACTGATTGACGCCCATCTGCCACGTTGTTGAATGGCAGACAAACTGCGAGCTTTATAATATGCGTCTGTGCTTGGCCCAGAGTGTCGCAAGTTGTGTGGTGTCAATCGCAACTTCTCTAAATTCAGGGTGTCACATGCTTTTTTGATGGCTTTGTTATAGGCATGCAGAGTCAGCTGTTGAAAAAGATGACTGTCAGCGCGTTCACATCTAGCCGTCAAATATTTCATGACGACTCCCAAGTCACTGCGGCCAGGTGAATCCAACAGAATGCAGTCATCATACAATCCCGTCTTTGTGGCATTCTCCAAGTCGCGATTCCCAACTACCATGCCCCAGCAACGAGCACGTGATTTGGCCGGCCTGAGAACTGAGTTTGCTTGAACATTCAAAATCTCATTTGGCCTCATGTATGTGTCTCCCTGCAGTAGGATCGCAGCTGCTACCAGTGGGTCTCTATCGAGTATGCACTGCCAGGCGATTGCATCCCAAATCTGCAGGTCGACACCCGCACGGGAATGGACAGGGAAGCGAGATGACCAACCTTTCAAAGCGGCTTTGCTCTGCGACAACAACATTCGCTCAGGTTGGTGTGAGTCCATCTTCAACATGATGAACCCAAAGACTGTACTGCGTGCGTTGACAATGGACATGCCTTCCTCGCACTGGGTGTGAAGATAGTCTACCATTGTTCTATCTACAAACTTGGGTGACATTGAGCGGTGTTTTTGCCTTGCCCATGTCACAAAATCAGCAACGGCTTGTGAGTACCTACCCAAGGTGACAGGCTTGACTTGGCTAGCTCTCAGTCTCTTGTGGGGAGGCACTGCAATTGAGACGGTGAGATCTCGAAAAGGCTGCTGACGTTTGTTTCCAGACTTTACTGAGCTTTGCTGCGGCTTTCTGTTTCCTAAGTCTCTTTTTCTGCTTTGTGGCTGCTGAGTCTTGGCCGTAAACGATGTGTTGTTGGAGGTGAGGAACTTTCGTGGTGATGTCTTGTAGAAACCACTGGTGTTGTGAGCGTCTGCCCTTGGCTTGGCGCAGCCCTTCTTCGATTCCTCCAAAATTTGCGCAACACTCTTTTTCAGCATGGCATGGTCCGTGCGCACGTGCGATGAGACCTGCCCATACTTCGGCCAACTGCTGCGGATAGGCACTCGCATGTTGTGTACGATTCATGTAATTCCACTTCCCATCTTGGAAAACTTTCATGCGACCTACCAGCTGTACTCTATGTCTGAAGTGGTGGCATTGACGTTGAAGACTGCACAGACTTTCAAGGTTTGTCACTATCCTAGTAAGCTTTCTATAGGGGGCACCGTATGCACACATGGGAAACTCTACCACAAAAACATCTGCCCTCTGCATGAGCTGCTGGATGGGGAAGAACTCCCAAAGTGCTGATGACACTGGATTCTCTATGCTCCAAAAGGTTCCAACCGACATGCATATCTCACATAACTTCGCAGTGTAAAAAGCTAACTCACATGAGACTCGTTCTTTGGCACGTGCAGCGAACATGTTCTTCAATCCTTTTCTTGCCATCGAGAAGACCGTGCATGGAGTTCCAAAATGGCAATAAAACAAGTTGCACTGCAAGATCACTGAGCATAAAAAACTCTGAGTTGAATGTCTAGTGAGATCATGATGCGGACCGTGTTGAATGTCCACGGATGCTGCGATTGGAACCCCCTTTTTTCCACAAGCCTCGGACAAGTGACCGGATCCTGAAAAAACTTCAAGCATGCCAACATGAGTCGCGTGGCAATGGCCGCTGTGTTTGCAAAAAGCATTGTCATCATGACATGAAACCTTAGTAGGTTGACATTCTGCTTTCAACGGCTTTCCACCCTGACTTCGTGGCGAGCTGCATGTGGGAGCATTCACTCCATGAACCTTGGTTAGGCTCTTTGATTTGCTACCTTGAGTGTCTAGGCCTGGCGGTGCTGTCTGCACTGTCTGAGCACTAGCCGTAGTGACAAGAGGATATATCTGTAACTCAGTTTTATTTGAACCTTTGGCCCTCGGAAATTGAATCCATCTGATTTCAGGTGGTCGGTTGTTTTCAAACCACCTAGAAGGCCCGTCAGATACATTTCGAGGACTTTCAATGTGACGCAACCGCCAACCTAAACCAAGACCTGCCTGAAGAGACGCGGCTTTTCGGCATAAGCGATTGAGAGCTGGTGACCCTGACCGCCCTTTTTCAAAAGCAAGCACAACTGCTAGATTATCACAGAGGGTGAGCTTGAGTGATCCAACTAACGAAGATACCCTGGCAGTCCTCTTCAAACTTGATAAAGCAACCATAGCTTCTTTGAGGTTTATATGTTGCGACGGGTCACGCCATCGCTTCGCCCACAAAAGTTTGAAACGGTTAGGCCTAAGGAGGGTTGAGGAGACAGGTTCAACTAAGGCAGGGTACTCAATATCGGCACGATGTTTCTTCCTTGCCTTAACTTGGGAGGTGATGGCGCTTGTGCGGAGCCAGTCCCCATCAGCTAACACCTGCTGCAACCACTGACCATATTGAGTATCAATGCCTAAACCACTACCGGCACGGGCTACAAACTCATCCTGTATAGGGACCTCATTCAGGGGGACTCCGGCTTTGCTCTCAAGGAGTCTTAACAGCGCAGACTTGTCTTCAAGAGTCAAAGCTTCCTTGACATCATCAGGGAGAGGTATGAATCTCCACTTTTCACGGTACTGCAGAGCTCGCTTTATCTCCCAGTCTGATGCAGTGCAACTCATGAGAGCATAGCCATGATCTGCGGAGTCTCCTGCATCCACCTGTGACACTATAGGACTACCAAGGTCAACCCTAGCTAACCATATCACATGACATGCCTGACGGATCTCTCTCCTGACTGAGGGCCACAGCGGAATCCGCGTCTGCACTTCTAGTCGACAAAATCTGTAGATCTTATCGAAAATTGAAAGCAGGCAAGGCTTCAACCTGAACAGGCTAGTGACATGCCCTAACCAACATTCGACATGTTCTCTTCTAACTCGAGAGCGCCTGCATAATCCAAGGCCAGCCAAGTATGCCCTCCAGACCCTAGTCGGTTTGTTTCTGAGTACACCGTCTTCCAAGTTCAGCACGCACCCGACTGTTTCTAAGGAGGTCACTGGAGCGTCTTGTGACCACACGACAGGGATGTCGAGCTGCTTGAAGGCATTGTCTATCTGGCTACATCGCGCAGACACGTCCTCTTCACTCCGTCCTATTATTGTGATGTTATCCACGTATGTTGAACTAATAGTGTTAAATTGCTCGAGTTGGGGACAAGGCATGCGTTCCCGCAACTCGGCTCTTGGATCTGGAGCGGACTGTCTCACTATTCCAGCTATGGTTTCGTTTGCTAAATAGAGAGCCCAGGCCCAGCCCATACTCATAGCTGAAATAACTGGAAACAAGACTTCAGAAGAGGATGTGCGACGGCGGCGACCCAAGTTAGTCATAGACATCTTCTACATGAATGCCCAAGGAACTCCACTCGGTTTGAGACTTTCCCTCCCCTACAGCAAAGAAGGCCCCAACCTCATCAATTCTGAATTGGTAGAAGCAATCTGACACATCGCATTCACGTGCGAAGGCTGGACACGGGGCATCATCATCAGATCTATTCAACCTCAGTTCTGCCAAACATGAACTTGAACCCAGTCTGGTGACTGGTGGGCGCCTATGCATGAAGTTGGCCTGCCGGCCATCAATGATCAACCTGATGTACTGCGGTGTCTTCTTCTTCACGCAAAAGATGCCGGCTTTGGCTAGAACGACGGGTTGCAGGTCTAGTAAACCTATCTCAAACATTCTTCTAAAGAGTTGCAACCGCAGCTCGGGATCCTTCTGCAGACGTGGGTCCCAATAGGGTCTCCTACACATGGCTTCAGGGCTGTCAGCGAGTTCAGCCTGCACCTGCAGAGGATCACGGACTATGTGGTGTTTGAAGTCTCTCAGCAAAGGTCTCACCGTTTCAGGCAGCAAATCTAAAACCTTCTTTGGCTTCACCCCACTATGCAGTATCTTGATTTTGTTGAAGTCATAGTCAGCAAGGTGGCTGGGCATCCCATCGTAGAGGCTAATGGATCTTGTCAAGTCCGCTAGAGCTGTGTTTTGACAGAGCCCTTCGGGACAGACCCCCGTCTCATCAACACACGACTGTACATGATTAACCAGGTCAGTCTGAACTTTCGTAGGGGTGCGACAAGAGAGCTGCAAATCAAATTCACTGAATTTAACACCAGCAAGCTGATTGAGTGATTTTACACAATCGAACACCTGCTCTGGCAATTGCATGCGATTGGCATGGAAAGGGTAAGGGGCCCCATGTTTTCTGAGCTCCTCGGCACCTTCCGCAAATCTGCTGATTGTGGCCATCTCCTCCACCTCGAACAGGACGAGCCACGAGGAAGTGGTCAGCCCGGACCCAATACACAGGGTGACCCCTGTCTGACAAAGAAGAGCCGGGCACAGGCCAACCACCCCCTGCTGCTCAAGTCCTGTCTATGTGCTTCTGAAGAAGCAAGGCCACTGGCTCCTATGTTGCTGTCGCCCTCACACCCCAGCGGAGCCTAGCCGGAGCGGGGCCGTGCAATGGTCTAGACGGACCCCCCGGCGCCTGCGTTGTGGGCGCCGGGTTTCGGTTTTGGTTTAGGACCCTTCCCCTTGCCTCGGCCACGGCCATGAGCATCATCTGAGCCGGCCGCGGCGTTCGAATGATCACTGGACATGCCTGCACCTTTCCCTCCACGGAATTCCTCTTTGTACAACCGAGTCTGCTTGGCAATGAAAGCCTGGTCCTTTAGCTTACTCGCCAGCCAGTTGTTGAAACTACTGGTGACAGCCTCACCACCACTACCGATAGGATCTTCAAGCACAAGTTCGAGTCCGGTGAAATCTGGACTCAGTGGTGAGCGACCAACAGCTGTTTCTATTTGAACTAGCCGACGTGTCAGGGTTTCAAAAGCCAACAAATTGCTAATGTTCAGCTGGTCTGTCTCCAATGCGGCTCGCAAGACGTTGCAAATGATTCTATGGTCATGGCAGGGCATTGAGAAGATGTTCACTCCACTAGACTTTGCCCAAGACAAGTGGTAGGTGGCCAGGTCCCCCGGGCCGCTTCTCACTGCCTTCAGAAATTCCAGGACAACCCTGGGGCCTTGCAAATTCCAGTCATTCATCGAGTCTTCTGTGAGCTTTGACATGGCTGACTTGAAATCCAAGAATCTTTTGCCTTGACCATCTTTGAATGTTCCTAACAATCGGAGGTCACCTCGGGATGCATCTGCTTCTGTCAAAAATTCTGCTTTCTGACTCGTGGCAATTCGACGCACAAAGGTCTCATTTCCATCGAGCATTACCAGTCCACTATCCCCAAGCGTCACCCCATCATCAAGCAATTGCTCATCAACAGATTCACCAAACCTAGCATGTGAGGGAAGGGCTACTATCCATTCATAGGCATCTATGTCATCCACAGGAGTTTCATTGAAGAGGGATGCCATCTGTTGAGCTCTGCGTTTGTGTCTCTCCAATTCAGCTCTGGGCACCTCATCGAAGGCATAGACATAAGGGGCTTGAGGCCCTGGAAAGTCCGCCCGACGCTCCAAAGGCAAATGGTCAACTTCAAACAAATTGATCCGTTCTAAGTCTGCGTCAGGCGTCAGTGCTATGAAAATGCCTGGCGAAATCTTGTGCAAAAGGATTCGATGATGCCAGTAAAAGCCGTTCTGATCGTGTGGAAAATGCCTCAGTATTTGGGGTTCTCTCAGATCAAGGGTGCGTGCCACAGCTGCCATTTCAATCTTTTCTGGCTATCTTTCTAAGATCCGAAGGTCGGGTCGGTCCCGTCCTAACCAGAGACGTCGATGATGGAGAGTGATCGCTGCTGTCTGAGGAATCAGACAAAGTTGTCTCACTCGCTATCTGGTCAGTCAAGGCAGGAAGCTGCAAAGGATGAGGACGGCGGGCTATCAGGAGATACACAATCCAAATCAACAACAACAGTTCTGAGAATGCCACCAGTTTCAGAATGTAAGTCAAAAAACCAGTATATGAGTTGCAGTGTTCCAGAATGATTGAAGTTTTGCGAATCACTGTTTCCGCTCTTGACACCTCAGCTTGAAGCAAAGTGATCTGCACTGTCAGTTCTGCCCCTGCGTCTCTACCCAAGATTGACCGGACAATGTGGGTTGCCAGAACCGCAAAGCCGACACGGCGATAATCCATCTGATCCGTTGAATTTCTTGAGGACAAAATGTCGCAGGAAAAGATTGGGGCTTCAACGTTTGCGGTCAAAAGAGAATCACACCAAATTGGTCTATATATTATCATCAATAAATATCAATAAACTATAGACTATGGAAAATGATGATAAACTATGGATTTTCTTTCGGGTACTCCATTTTCAGACAAAGCCACATCGAACTAGTTCATGGGGTGAATCTAAACCAACAAACGTTTCACTGGGGGGCAGCACCACCTTGGGCGAATGGGAGTTCAAGGGACCAACTATTTGGCTCAGCCTCCAATGTTCCAGTTGCAGATCATGCAAGAACATATTTTGGAGACTTCACAGAAGTTTAAAATTTTGCATGCCCAGTTTTTCACCCATTGCTGAGGCTTCAAAACAAATTGATACGTTCCCGTAACGCCAGGTCCCGTTGCCAGCCATCCGCTACGAGGTACCGTTTTCATTTGCTCTGGTAACACGATGAACTCCTGGCGCGATCGAGCTATCGGTGAGGCAACGGTTCAAAATGATGGGAAAAATTATGGAGGTACCCGGCCCGGTAAACATACAAAAAACTATGGAAAGATCCACCATTCTTAATGGGAAAATCAACGAACTATATAAATGGCCATGTTCAATAACTATGTCACAAATTACCAGAGGGTAAATGCTGGGGAAACGATCTCCCATTGTTGTCTCCTGAAAAGTTTTCGCTTTTCTTCGAAAAACGTGAGTTTCCCTCTTTTTGTTGGTCTCACTATACCACTCATACCATTATTGTATCGTGATTCTCATTATTAAAATGTTAGATCCATTTTGCGATGTAGTGACTGTGACCGCCAAAAAGATATAAATTGGTAAACACTTGTAAAAACCTACTAGGATAGTGATAAGTTACCCTCTGGTAATTTAACCTAGCTATGGAAAACGGCCCATGTTATGGATGATTTACCTGTTCAAATTGGTCATGTTCAATAGCCATGTGACATTACCAGAGGGTAAGAAACACTAGGAATCTCCATTCATTTTGCTGATAAGACATGATAAAACCATCATCGTTGTGCTGCGAAGTCAATTTCATGGTCAACAAAAATCCTAGAGTCCATTTCTATTATCCCATTATCCGTCGTTACCCTCTGGTAAACATACAAAAAACTATGGAAAATCACAATTTTTAATGGGAAAACTCACTAGAAATGGTCATTTTCAATAGAAATGTCACAAATTACTAGAGGGTATCCCATGTCTATCCCAGTGTTGTCCTATTAATATCCCATATCGTTGTGCTATAAAAATTACCCAACCGCCGGACGAACAGCCGACTCCGTCAGCCCGACTCCGGCGGCCTGGAAAGGACGGGTGCTTTCCTTAGCGACTGCCGAGTTCGTGAAGGTCCACTGAGTAAGTGGATAATATCTACCCTCTGGTAATTTGTGACATAGCTATTGAAAATGGCCATTTATAGTGAGTTTTCCCATTAAAAATGGTGATTTTCCATAGTTTTTTGTATGTTTACCAGAGGGTAGCCATATTGGGATGATAATGGGATAATAATGGGATTTACAGCTGGTTTTATCTGGGGGAAACCCAAGTCATGGGGGTAACCCAGATAAAATCATCCAAGTCATTAATTACAGCATTTTAGTATTGAAACTTATGATTATGGTGACTTGGGGATCCCCCCTCTTAAGAAACCACCCTTTTTTTGGCGCCCAGTCAGTCACCTTCTGGTTTTCTCAAAAGTGGCTGGCCCGAAAATCCCTGAACAACAACGGAGGTTTAGTTCGCTGGGGAAATCCTCTGGAAAAAATGGATCTTTTTCAGTGAGCCGATGACTGGAGGGTACACCAATTAAGGATTGCTGGGTTAGATGAATGGTTGGATTCGAATGGCTGAATGGACGACTTGTGAATCACATCCAAGATGCACATCCAAGTACACCAAACATCAGGGATTCCTTGAAACTCTGGTAAACAGTCACAGTTTGCTAGTGAAAGTGGCCATAGAAGTAGTTTTACCCATTAAACATGCTGATTGTCCTTCATTTTTTCAAGTATGTTTACAAGAGGTTATGTTTTGACGGAGAATTTCTGACCAATGATCCATGGTCATCCCTGGTCATCCAGTTTTCCATGCCAAAAAAAGAGGGGTAGATTCGAATCACCTCTGGTTGGTGGTTTTGTATACTCATCTTGAAGAATGATGGACTTCGTCAATGGGAAGGATAAATGACATCCCACAAATACATGAAATGGAATTTCTAAAATTCCATGGTTTGAAACCACCAACCAGACCTTAAATATGGGGCTTGAATGGGAGATCATTAAGAAATACGTCCATGTCTGGCTGAACATCAATCCCCTAACCATTCGCAAGTCGGTCCCTGCTGCTCCCATCCCCAGGCTTCGAAACGGTTCACCAGTTTTTTTCAGTTTCTCATGATCCCCTAGTGTAAAATAGGTTTTTTCACTACGAAAAAATGCAAGGTTCTGGATGATTTCCGTGATAAAGATTGCTGGTTGGTGGTTAACCTACCCCTCTGAAAAATGATGGAGTGAGTTCGTCAGTTGGGATGATGACATTCCCATATACTATGGAAAATAAAATTCATGTTCCAAACCACCAACCAGATCAATATACCTATTATTTTCGGTACCCCAAAAAATCATCCATTTCCATCCAGCTGGGCTTGTCCAATACCAAGCATCCACAATTGAGCGATATCTCTTCAAGACTTTGTTCCTGTGGGTCTCCGCATGCTTTCCGACCATTGGAATGCCGGTGTCCATGTCATTCTGGGCAGCCTGACGATGGCAAGGCAAAGCGTAAGGAGACTGAAGAATTCAAAAAAATCAATGTTTTGTATGTGTTTATATGTATCTATATATGCATGCATGCATATTAAAAAGTTTCGTAGGAAATTACTGTTCTACTTTTGGGTTACTACATGTATCATGTATCTATTTATCTATATATCTGTGTGTAATTTCTTAATGGAATTGTTCATAGTTGATATTTCGAGGTGGTTCAAGAACACATGGTGTAAAAGGAGAACATCTTGTGACACTATGCTAGTAAAGCAACAATAAACCACCCATATTTTGATGGTTTATCAGTTTATCCCAGCATATCCCACCTATTTGTGGTACAATTGAAGATGGTTTGCTATTGCTTTACTAACATTGAATTACCCTCTGGTTATTTAACATAGCTATTGAAAATGACCATTTATAGTGGATGTTCCCATTGAAAATGGTGATTTTCCATAGTTATGTTAATTTACCAGAGGGTAAATCGTCTGAATCAACATTTTTTTTTGCTCCTGTTAACAGTGGATTGGTCCCAATAGCTGGTTCATAGGAAACTTCTGAAAGCAAAAATCCCGCAGACTGGCAGTATGAACCCCCACGTGCATCAACCCCCAATAAACCAGCGTCAGATCATTCTCTTTCCTGGATGATCAAAGGTGCTTCGAAACCAATTTTCCCTTGTTAAGACCCCCCATGTCTTCCCTTTTTCGCAATCCCAAAAACCGCCAAGTCATGCCCTTCGCCGCCTGAAGCATTCCTTCTGGATCTTCTTCCAACAAGACTCGCACCGTGCTGTCGAGCATGTTCTGGAAAATGTAGCTGTACGTTGTGGCCTTGGCGTGGAGAACTCATCCCTGCCACGTCGTCACGTCGAAAAGGGAAAAATCAGGTGTTCGAAAGCTCTAGCTTTGGAAAGGAATGAAATATGACATTTGATTTTCCTGCATATTTAAAACAGAAAAAACATGAAATTCCATGTAACAAATATGAAATCTGGTACCACATAGAAAGTTTATTTGTTCAACCGAAAATGCTCCAAATACGGCCCGACAAAACCTGGCACATCGCCGATTGGTGATGGGGAATGATTTGGGAATGGCTGAGCAATCTGGTGGTGAAAATAATGGCTTTTAAAACCAATCTGGTTGGTGGTATATACCTATCCCTCTGAAAAATATGAGTCAGTTGGGATTATTCTTCCTAATATATGGAAAAATCAAATTCATGTTCCAAACCACCAACCAGCAATTAAACGTCGGGCAAAAATCACCATGTGTGCTAGATTCAAAGTTACCTTAAATTACTGCTCGAATCCCCTTTAGGTCGTTAAAATCACCAGCTGGTCAAGTCAACTTACCCTCTGGTAATTTAACATAGCTATTGAAAATGGCCATAGAGATAGTGAGTTTTCCCATTAAAAATTGTGGATCTTTCCATAGATTTTTGTATGTTTACCAGAGGGTACTGATTTTGGGTGCCTTCCCAGCCGTGCAATGCACCAAGCAACAGTGAGCTGCGTGGCGACTTTGTCCGCGCTGGCTGTGAACCTCGCCGCTGGAGAAAAAGGGGTGACTTGGGAGTTGACTCCAAGCCCCAAAAGTTGAGGAACAGCATGGGTCATTAAATGTCCCCATTGAACATCACCCAACCATTAGGTATATGGTCTATAATGGCTACTATAAGGTGATGTCCAATATTCCCAAAATGGGACAGTTACCAACCCCTGAACAACCAACAAAAAAGTGTGGAACATGGTGACTGGTTGGTGGTTTTAACATGTTTTAACCATCTTGAAAAATATTATATAGTCAATGGGAAGGATTATAACATATATGAAATGGAAAAAAAAATATTCCAAACCACCAACCAGTTGAATAATTTAACAGCTATGAAGCATTGGGCGTTTACCATCAGAAAGGGTGACTAAAGCTATCAAAACAGAAGTTTTTGTTCATATGGGTATTAACAACAAAAAGGGATTGATTTAAGGGAGCACTTAAGAGGAAATCTCTGGTTTTGACAATCCTATTGATTGGGGGTGTCCTTAATTTTTTCCTTGAACCAAACCTAAGCATACTTTGACACTCAAACACCTTCCGAACGAACACAGAAAGGACGGCTGCCTTCCACGGTTTCATTGCCTCACTGTAAACTCCTCTTAAACTACCAGTTTTGGGGCTCATAGCCACTTATCTACGGCCCGGTTGATTCTGTTGGGACACATTGACGAATCCATGGCTAACACCATCGCCACGAATCAGGAAACACCTTAGCCTACCTTGCCATATTATTGGCATACAGGTTTGCCTGAAACGAGGGTACCTACATCCATTGCCTTACCACCACTATTTCTATGATAATGGGCATTTCAAGGGTATATATGATTATATATGGTATATTGGTATACCACATGTTCAGACACACCCATATCTTCCATGCCAAGGTACTGTCGAAAGAATTTCATTGGCAAAATGCCACTCTTCACATCGCTTCTACGGCCACATGATGAATGCAAGCCTCGTGCCCTTGCGGGATGCGAGTCTATCCCCTTGTGGTTGTACGGGATCCAGCCTTGCAATACATCCACGTTTTGAAAAAAAAAGGACTCCAGTGGTTGCTGCATGTACCAACTAAGCGGAACCTCAAAGTGGTTGCTGCCACAATGATCCACTGCGCAAAATTTGCCGAACTTCTGACAAGCCACCCGGTTCCTCTGTCACCCAGTTCCACTGTCAATTGGAGCCGTGGGGAATGTCATGTCAATATGCGTTCAAAGGTTAACTATTACAAAAACAGTTCGCTCCTGTGAAGGTTTGTGGCGAATACACAATTTGCCATCACAACCGAACTGCATTCCGCCTTCCTCCGCCAGGCACAGCATGCGTTATATGCAGTTTGTATACAGGTCTCAAATTTTCTCAAGCGGTGAGTCGCAGTTCACCCAAAACGGAGACATCAGGGTATCTCTTTGGATTGAAGATAACTCGTCCATGGCAGGTCACTGAGTATGACTGAGTCACAATTTGCAAAGTGAACATATTGAGTTGGTGAAAAAAATGCCGTGACGATACTGGTCATATTCGGTCATACTGGTCACAATTCTCTTGGAGGTTGGAAACAAAATCCAGGTTTCACTACAGGATGGGCCCCCCCAGTTACAAGTTGGTTTATAAACCATTATAACCCCCATTAACTATGGTTATATCTACCATAAACCATAGTTGAGCCACTTGTGAGGCAACCGAACGCTATCTTGGGTTCACTAGGGAGCACCTTTTTTCTGTGTCTGTAGAGGTCACACGCTCCACGCGCCACGCGCAGAGCAGCCACATGTTTCCAGCTGTTTCAGGTCTGGGCTCTCCAGCCGAAACTTATGTTCCGCCGATATGGGGTAGTTTGGTGGCTGTTATACATCGTCACCAAAAAAAAACAAAATATATTCATCATTTACTGGTTGGTGGTTTTAACCATTTTGAAAAATATTAGTCAATGGGAAGGATTATCCCATATATTATGGAAAATAAAAAATGTTCCAAACCACCAACCAGTTAATGTCGACCGTGGATTAATAATTGGGGGGTATCATTTAAGTATCAAGTTATGACGACTATTGAGGAAGCATGCCCCCTAATCAATAAACTATGGTTTACCAGTAGTACCGCACAAGGCGGTGGCGGAAGTTTCAAAAATAGGAAACCTATAGGAGAGATTGGTTGTTGTGAATCAGGGATGGCAGAGCGAATCCACTGATGGACCCAAAGGTGCTTGAGGTCTCCTCTCTTTCTCTCTCTCTTTCTCTGACTATCTAACTACCTACCTATCTATCTTCTATGTATCTATCTATCTATCGATCTATCTATCTCTCTCTCTTTCATCTAATTACCTATCTATCTATCGATCGATCTATCTATCTCTCTCTCTTTCATCTAATTACCTATCTATTTATCTATCTATCTATCTGTCCAGCTGTGTACCTGTCTATCTGTGGTGCAATGTCATTCAGTGTAATGTAGTGTAGTGTAATGTAGTGTAGTGGAGTGTAGTGGAAGGTAGTGTAGTGTAATGTAGTGTAGTGTAACTTAGTGTAGTGGAGTGTAGTGGAGTGTAGTTGTGTAGTCGTAGTTGTAGTTGTAGTGTAGTGGAGTGTAGTGTAATGTAGTGAAGTGTAGTGGAAGGTAGTGTAGCGTAGTGTAATGTAGTGTAGTGGAGTGTAGTGTAGTGTAATGCAGTGTAGTGTAGTGTAGTGTAATTTAGTGTAGTGGAGTGTAGTGGAGTGCAGTGGAGTGTAGTTGTGTAGTTGTGTAGTTGTGTAGTTGCAGTTGTACGTAGTTGTAGTGTAGTGGAGTGTAGTGTAGTGTAATGTAGAGAAGTGCAGTGGAAGGTAGTGTAGTGTAGTGTAGTGTAGTGTAATGTAGTGGTAGGTGGCATATTTAGTGTAGTGGCGTGTAGTGGGTGTAAGTGTTGTGCAGTTGTCTAGTTGTAGTTGTAGTGTATGGATTTTATGTTAGGTGTAATGTACCGTGAATGTATTGGAAGGTAGTGTGTAGTGGTAGTGTAATGAGTGTATGTAAGTGTAAAATTTAGTGTAGTGGGAGTGTAAGTGGAGTGTATTTGTGTATCGTAGTTTTAGTTTCATTGTGGAGTGTATTGGAGTTTAGTTGTGTAAGTTGTAGTTGTGTTGTTAGTGTTTGTGTAGTTTAGTGTAGTTTAATGTAAGTGTAGTGAGTGGATGTGTAGTGTAGTGTAATGTAGTGTAGTGAATGCGAAGGCGATGCGAAGCGACCATCTGAACCTCCAAAAGTGGTCCGAACCCCTGGTTTTTTAACATTTTGCTTCGAAATGTGCTTCGTACGCCAACAACCGGCGTGCACTTTTCTTTATTGGACATCTCAACTTCCAAAAGCGGTCCCCGTCACTGAGGTGCTTGTACATGTTCACTTCGAAACGTGCTTCGCGCCACAACGGCGTGCACTTTTTCGACATCGCAACTTCCAAAAGTGGTCCGACACTGAGGTGTTTTGTACATTTTCACTTCGAAATGTGTTTCGCGCCACAACGGCGTGCGCATTTTCGACATCACAACTTCCAAACGTGGTTCGACACTGAGGTGCTTTGTACATGTTCACTTCGAAATTTGCTTCGCGCCACAACGGCGTGCGCTTTTTCGACATCGCAACTTCCAAAAGTGGTCCGACACTGAGGTGTTTTGTACCTTTTCACTTCGAAATGTGCTTCGCGCCACAACGGCGTGCAATTTTTCATCTCTCATCTGGCCAGCTGCCTCCGCACCCGCCGCTTTAGCGAGCCTACTTTTCGACCCTCCGGAGCCACAAATCATTGGAAAAATACAGTGTGTCGCGACTTTCCTACCTTGTCGCGCATCTGCATCTTTTTTCTTCTGACTCTTTCTCTTCTACTCTTCTCTCTTCTAATCTTTCTCTTCTCTCTGCCTCTGCCCTGCTCTGCTTTTCATCTGTCCATATTGTTGGAAGTTTGACTTCTAAACTTCCTTCGACTAATCCGGGGTTGACAGGAAGGGAAGAAGTCCTTCACACTGGCTTGCATGCTATAGAAATCTTGGTGTCCCAAGGAAGTTCAGCAAAGGTGTGACCAAAGGAAACATTGACTTGCAGAAGCTGTGGCAAGCCATCAAATCAATCGAGGCTGCAGCCAGTTAGCCGCAGCGTGCATTTGAGATCATTTGAGGTGCAGTGGGTCTACTTTACCCAGCGCCAGAAATTGGTCTGCGTGTGAAATACCTATGTATAGTTCTTTATACGCAATTATACACAGCTAGCAATTACATTCCACTTGAAAAATACAAACATCTGCAAGGTTCCTAGACATGATATTGTCTCATTGATGCGGGTGAAACTAAATTGCTAGGCGGCGGTCACTTTTAGCGCCTGGGGAACGTTGGCTTTGACTATGGACAACTAGCAGGTCACACCACCTTGATCCACCTTCCCTTGCTGCCACAAGATCCATGGCCTTCCCGACAGAATTAGGTGATGATTAGTGCTTAATGCAGCTGATCACATTCCCCACCCTTTTAAAAATGTCTAGCTGTCCAGCCCTCAACTGCAGGCCACACCAGCAGCCCAACACCTTCCCGGCTGCTGCCTTCCGCAGCAGCCGATCGCGGAGAGAAAGGCCTTGGATCTTTGGGGCTTTTGTTTTGAAGCAAGTTTCCTAACATTATCCGACCGGGTCCCAGCCTATTCTCAAGTGACGCCGAAAAGCCCTTTTGACGGAACTAAAATTTAGTTGCCAAATCCTCACATCCATCGGCAATTTCCGATTGGCACTGCACGCAGTGTCAAGCAAATTGATGTTTCCCAGATCCACAGTTGAAGGACTAGCCGACTAGCCCACCACCAGCCGACCTGGCCCATCCTGACCCTGCCCCTGTCCTGCACAAATTGCGCGATGTCATCCTGAAAGTTCATGTGGATATGTTTGGGAAATCTGTGGGTGTCATCACCACCAACCAGTTCAGGTTTGACAATTTTGCACTGGTGGTGAAGACTGGGTCACTAGGTGAATTATGACAACGATGTCTCATCCGATTGCAGGGGTGAGAAATAATCTTTGTGTCTGCCATGAGTCCAATTTCTTGTGGAACCACTTTACAAAACAAACAGTTGAAAGATGTTGAAAGGCTGTCTCCTCTCTTTTTTTTGAAATCATGAACAGGGTCCAGGGTGGTGGGACCCTCAAATCGCCATGCGCAACATCCAAGACCCCCTTTTCAAATCTGGCAAGCCTGCGGGGGCTGTTCCTCCTCCCCGTGAGTCTCCGAGGGCTGTTGAAACAGCGATTCTGCCTGCAATGAGCACAGGCAGAAAGCAAAATCCTGAAGATTGTCACACCCTGGGATGAATTATGAAAATATTGATGATCTGGGATGTTTTCTTGCTTCACTCTGACCATTTGCCGCAGCAACACATTCTAATGCATTGTGCTTCAGTGACACTCAGTGACAACAACTGCGGCAATGATGAGTGAGCAAAATGTCGTTGAACCATGTTGAACCCTTCCACTTCGCAACGCAACTTTTGACTGCTTGGAAAGACCTTGTTCAAACACTGCACCTGCCTCGGCAATCACTTCAGACAGCGGCGCGGCTTCAAATTCCACCACCTGCAGAAAGCAAAGCTCAAGGGATTCAAAGGTATTGCATGCAGAATCTCAATGTTTCGATATATGTTTCACTTGCACCAGGTGGCATATTGCCGTTTCCGGTTCCTTTATGTTCAGCTGGAACTACTGGTTGATGATGGGCATGAGTTATGAGCGAAATACCATGGGGAAAGGTCCAAACTTGAGTCCTTGAGGGTTGGTAAACAAAAGGCCAAGACAAAAGATGTGGGAGCGGAGAAGGCATAGAAAGCCATGGGCGCTAGCAATGAGAAGGGAGATGCGAAGGGCAACGTGGAGGAAGGTGGCAAAATGGTCAGAGCGAGGTGGAGTGGAGTGACTAAGTGGGAAGGAGGTGGGTGG